GCTCACTTACTAGGATTAAAATAGGAAGAACAATGTTTTAATGCCCACTCATTGCATTCCTAATGAGTTTGAATAGAGTTCCTTGTATTTAATGTTAATTTTTGTGTCAATTTTCTGGAAACACAAAATATCCCCATTTTATGAATGAGGATCATAAGCTTCACTGGGGGAGAGGAGGAAGAGAAGGGAACTTTTTCTTTTTTTGACAGGCAGAGTGGACAGTGAGAGAGAGAGACAGAGAGAAAGGTCTTCCTTTTGCCGTTGGTTCACCCTCCAATGGCCGCCACGGCGGCGTGCTGTGGCCGGCGCATCTTGCTGATCTGAAGCCAGGAGCCAGGTGCTTATCCTGGTCTCCCATGCGGGTGCAGGGCCCAAGCACTTGGGCCATCCTCCACTGCATTCCCTGGCCATAGCAGAGAGCTGGCCTGGAAGAGGGGCAACCGGGACAGAATCCGGCGCCCCGACCGGGACTAGAACCCGGTGTGCCAGGTGCCACAAGGTGGAGGATTAGCCTATTGAGCCACGGCGCCGGTCTGGGAACTGACATGTTCTAAGAAGGAAAAGGAACTGACATGTTCTGAGCTTTTACTGTTCAGTTATCTTGAAAAGTGATTTACATATATTAAAATTAGCTTTCAAGGCAACCTACAGGTGATGTCATACATGCTTTGCCATAATACGGCAGAGCCATTTTTAAAATTTTTGCATAGGGCCCGGCACCGTGGCTCACTTGGTTAATACTCCGCATGCGGTGCCGGCATCCCATATGGGTGCCAGGTTCTAGACTCGGTTGCTCCTCTTCCAGTCCAGCTCTCTGCTGTGGCCTGGGAAGGCATGGAGGATGGCCCAAGTGATTGGGCCCCTGTGCTCGCATAGGAGACCAGGAAGAAACACCTGTCTCCTGGCTTCTGATTGGTGTAGCTCCGGCCGTAGTGGCCATTTTGGGGGGTGAACCAATGGAAGGAAGACCTTTCTCTCTGTCTGTCTCTCTCATCGTCTAACTCTATCTGTTGAATAAAAAAAAAAAGGAGTTATTCTTAGGTGTTTAAATTTTAACTGAAAAGTGATCCCTGTTAGGAATTTGGAAAACATTATGCTGAGTGAAATAAGCCAATCCCAAAGGGACAAATACCACTTGTTCTCCTTGATAGGTGACAACTAACTGAGCACCAAAAAGGAAACCTGTTAAAGTGAAATGAACACTATGAGAAACGGTGACTTGATCAGCCCTCACCCTGACTGTTGATGAGCAACTTGATACGTTATCCCTCTTAGTATCTTTTTTGTTTGTTCTACTTAATACTTTTGGTTGAATACTGTAATCAATACACAATTCTTCTTAAGTGCTGAAACTTAACTGAAAAGTGATCCCTGTTAAATATAAGAGTGGGAATAAGAGAGGGAAGAGATGTGCAATTCGGGACATGCTCAAGCTGACTTACCTCAAACGGTAGAGTTAGAAACATACCAGCGGATTCCAATTCAATCCCATCAAGGTGGCATGTACCAATGCCATCTCACTAGTCCCAGTGATCAATGTTTGTTCTAAGAACCAAAGGGATCACATAAACAAGAATAGTGTCTGCAAATACTAGCTGATAGAATCAAAAAGGGAGAGAACGATCCAACATGGGAAGCGGGATACACAGCAGACCCACAGAATGGCAGATGTCCTAAACATCACTCTGGCCTCAGAATCAGCCCTTATGGCATGCGGATCTGGCTGAAAAGCCCATGAGAGTATTTCAGGCATGGAAAGCCAAGAAACTCTGGGGAAAAAAAAAACCCTAAATGAAAGATCTCCGCGAGTGAGATCCCAGTGGAAAGAACGGGTCATCAAAGAAGGAGGTACCTTTCTCTGAAGGGAGGAGAGAACTTCCACTTTGACCATGGCCTTGTCTAAAAATGATCAGAGTTGGTGAACTCAGGGGGCTTCCGTAGCCTTGGCAGCTCATGACAAGAGCCTAGGTTGATTACTGAGGCCATAAACAAGAGTGTCAATTTGTTAAGTCAATTTTTTTTTTTTTACAGGCAGAGTGGACAGTGAGAGAGAGACAGAGAGAAAGGTCTTCCTTTTTGCCGTTGGTTCACTCTCCAATGACCGCCACGGCCGGCGCACTGCGCTGATCTAAAGGCAGGAGCCAGGTGCTTATCCTGGTCTCCTATGGGGTGCAGGGCCCAAGCACTTGGGCCATCCTCCACTGCACTCCCGGGCCATAGCAGAGAGATGGCCTGGAAGAGGAGCAACCGGGACAGAATCCGGCACCCTGACTGGGACTAGAACCGGGTGTGCCAGTGCCGCTAGGCGGAGGATTAGCCTATTGAGCCACGGCGCCGGCCCACAATTGATCTTTAAACCTGTAAACCTATTCCATAAGGTATACTAAATGGAGTCTTCAAGTTGAAATGAAAGGACACTATAAATAGTAACTTTAATCTACATGAAGAAATGAAGATATCCAGAAAAGGTAACTATATGGACAAATACAAAGGCAAGTATTATTGTGTGGCATAATAGAGAATCTATTTGATCTTTGTACCTGGATCCTGGCACAGAGCTTCAAAAACTCTTGGCATTTTCTGAATGACAAGAGTGTTTGTGTTATGTTAACAAGCGACTCATTTGGGATCCATACCTGGCTTCAGGATGGGAGCTGGTCACTAGAAACATCACCCACATGATCAGATGTCCAGAAATTTAGGCTAAGCCAACCTCCAGGGAGAGTTAGGAGGCTAGAGAATGTGTCTCATTGATGTATTCAGTCAAGCCTTTATGGTGCAACCTCATTAAAATCTCTGGACACAAGGCTTAGAGGAGCATCCTGGTTGGTGAAGACATTGATGGGCCAGGAGGGGGGCCCAGATCCCACAAGGAGAGGGTATGGAATCTCTGTGTCCTCCCCATTCCCTCAGACCTTGCCTTATTTGTCTCTTTATTAGTTCCCAGTCTTTAACCTTTAGAATAAAACTAATAGAAAGTATTGTACTCTTGGTAAATGAGCTGAGTGAATCTTGTGATCTGGAGAGGGTTGTGGGATCTCCTGAATTTATGCTATTCAGTCGGAAGTGTGGGTGGGTGGCCCTTCAGATGTGTGTCCTCTGAAGTGGGCAGTCTTGAGGAGGGCTTTGCCCTTCACTTGTGGGGTCTGCACAAACACTAATTAGTACCAGAGCTGAACTGCAGGATTTCCACGTGTGCTGGGAATGGAACATACTGTAATTTTGGTTTAGAACCAAAAGACATGGATACAATTAATTGTAAATCCATGGTATTTAGTACACAATCACAAAGATGAGGACAAGTCCAGGCGTTTACCCTGCACACCAGATGAGACTTATGGGGCTCCCTCTGCCTACAGAAGGCACCCTTAAGTACAAAATTTTTGCCTTACCTATTTAGCCTACTGTGAACGGAAAGGTGCTTGTTAAGAAGAAGAATTTCCTTAGTGTGCTGTACATTGAGATTTAATGCTATAACTAGCACTCAAACAGTATTTTTCACTTTATGTTTCTGTGTGGGAGCAAACTGTTGAAATCTTTACTTAATGTATGCTAAACTGATCTTCTGTATATAAAGAGAATTGAAAATGAATCTTGATGTGAATGGAAGGGGAGAGGGAGTGGGAAAGGGGAGGGTTGCGGGTGGGAGGGATGTTATGGGGGGGAAGCCATTGTAATGCATAAGCTGTACTTTGGAAATTTATATTCATTAAATAAAAGTTTAAAAAAAAGAAAAATTTCAAGAAAAATAAAAAAAAACCTTTTCTCTGAGTTCTAGAGGAAAGAGTGAGTCTGATAATCCCTATCCAGATATTCTTATGTTTGGCTGTTGCCAAACTACAGCAGACACAAAGAGATATCTTCAAAAATAGAATGCCAGAGAGACTATTTGCCTCATACTGTTTCTGGTGTGTGTGTTTTCCAATCTGGGAATGGCACAATTGGGGTACTGGAAAGTGCAGAAGCCAGCCATTCGGGTTGGCTGAATGAGGTGCCATTCAGCCTCCTTTAACACATGAGCCCCCAGAACAGAAACGGAGAACATGCATGGCTCGCATTACTGGCTCACATGTATTGTTTCCATCTATTACTGAGGAAGAGGGAACCAATAACTCTCATATTTAACTTGACTCAGAAACTTCTAATATTTCTATTCTTTTCTTTAAAATAAAAGAAACACATACCTAACTTTAATTTCCCTATGATGTCTCTATAGCCAGAGAGAGAACTCTTTGTTTACTGAAGGTAAAGAAAATTCTCATGATTAGACACGCCCTTCAAAGTGCTGGCTGACTCCGGTAGCCTTATTACCAGAGAGACTTTCCGATCAGGTGTTCATTGTCCATCCATCCATCTACTCTAAATACTGATGGGAAGGAGACTGCTGAAGTTATAAACCATAATGAAGAAAATAAAAATAGCACCCATTCCCACAACATACATTGATGGCTGGTCTTTTGGTGTATATTTTTCAGGGTATTTTTTATTCAAAACCACTCAGATATTTATAGGAAAAGATGAGCTGTGCTGCCTCCATGGCTGAATACTCCATCCACAAATCCTGTTCCACACTTTAAGTACTCACCTGTTTTTGAATAGACGGACTCTGCATTGTTTTAGGAAAGATTCATTTTTTAAAAAAATTATTTATTTGAAATGCAGGGTTACAGAGAGGCAGAGAAAGAGAGAGAGAGTGTGTGTCTTGCATCCACTGGTTCACTCCCCAAATGGCCACATGGCTGGAGCTGAGCCGATCTGAAGCCAGGAGCCAGGAGCTTCCTCTGGGTCTCCCACGTGGGTGCAGAGGCCCAACATACTTGGGCCATCTTTTATTGTTTTCCCAGGCCATAGCAGAGGGCTGGATCAGAAATGGAGCAGCCAGGGCTCAAACTGGTGCCCATATGAGATGCTGGCACTGCAGGCGGTGGCTTTACCTGCCATGCCACAGGGCCGGCCCCAGGAAATATTCATTGAAATCAAGTCATAAAACACACAAAATATAGTGTTTTTAAAAACATTTTTAATGAAGAAATAATTCCATTCCAAAATATAGACACACAATTAAATAGTTTAATCACTTCAAAATATAACATGTCCCCAGGAGGTTCCAACACACACACACATACATACATACACACACACACACAAAACAATACTTAACAGCAATACAAAAAAAACCCATACAATAGTAGTTTTGTTACAATACCAATGAATATTGTGAAATCTTTAGTGTCTCTGAATTGGTTATTTCAAATGGTGTCAAATTACAGTAGTCATAATTAAAAATGTCTTACATATAGTTAATTAGCTTCAAGATGTAATGCTTCTGAATTTTTTTTTTCTTTTTTGGTTCACAGGTAAAATGCCCTTTCTTCTGAGGACACAGTGGAGTTCTTGTTTGTGGCTCCTTGGGTGGAACTGAACCAAGGTGAATGCAGCACCCGGAGGTTGCCGTATTTACAAGATCTATCTACAGTTAACAGCCAAGAACTAACCAGGGTGGACAAAGATGATCAAAAGAAAGCAGACATCAGTGCTAAATTATGATGCAACAGTTGGCTCATGCATATAAGAAAATACATAGTATATCACAACAAAGGCCACACTCTTTAATGCAATTCAGTTCACATTACTACTTACAAATGAACCTTCCCTGCCTTATAGTAGATCATCCGAGAATCCATTTTTCACAATCTCCAGCACATCTCTCTCTGACCAACCAAACTTACCCCAACTTCCGTCCTGACCAACTACAACTGATTCCTGAATCCCATACAGTAGATTTCACCCTCCCCCTCGTCCATTCGCATGATGCTGGGGGAGGGGACTGGTTGTGGTAGATCCGTGCTAACAGGCCATCAGTTCTGATGGAGATGGATGTGCAATTAATTGTGGAACAAGAAAGAAACAACCTCCGCAAAATATAGTTGTATCTAATGGACAGGACAGGTGGAACCTGCTGGGTTTGCATTTAGAACAGGCCCCAGAAGTAAATTTGGAGAGCCAAGGAAAGAAGCCCACCAAAAAACACAAAAACCCAAAACAACACATGCCATTTTGTCTCGGTTACAGGACAGGGGTGCTTGAGTCTGGTCTCAGTGCTGACGTGGAGCTAAGAGAAAGAAAAGGCGGCTGGTTAGTCAGAAATTGGTCACTGGCGGCAGTTTCCAGAGTCCTTGCAATGGCTTTGTAGGATGGTATCAACAACTGTGTGATGGAGTTGGTTGGCAATGAAATCTATGACAAGGGGGAAGGTTATCAGCAGAACAGTTCAAACCTCGGACAAACGTTTTGATGTCGGAACACAAAGAAATAACATAGGTCGGCTCAGTCCAGGCAGTGGCTCAGGTCCACCTGCCAGGTCCGAGTTCTCAGTTCAAAAACTACCTGGCTATGGTTTTGAGCTGACAGCAATGTAGGTAGCTGGGATGTTGCGGTTTTCAGTACTGAGTATGAGGCACCAGTGGCCACCTGCTCCATCTAGAGAGGTATGTTTTCACAGAGGATGGGCGGTGGAGTAGAGATGAGCATTAAGACACACCAACGGAACCTGCAATACAATCCACCTGTGCAAAGAAATCTGACAACTGTGCAGTTGTGCCACTTTGGTGTCAGCCTGTGCTCAGGGGCCTCTGCCGGGCGGGCTCTCTGGAAGGAGGGGTGATTAAGTACATCAAGGGACAGGGTGGGCTCCGAACTAATGCCCGATAAGCCAATGAGCACTTTACTATTCCCAGGGGAGTGATTTTTTTGTTCCACAGGGAAGCCAAGGAGATGGTTTCTGTTCACTTGCAGAGACAGGAGCACCTTAAGGCCCTCTGCAGAGGGAGCTTGAAGACGGCAGGGCGTCTGCTCTCGGCGGGGCGCCCTCCAGCTGCGGACTGGGTGTATGGGGTGGGAGGTTTTTGCCAGCCCCAGAAGCAAAAACTGAATGCTGAAGTTCTGAGTCTGACTCAGGACCTTGTTGCTTATTGTGAATAAGGCCTTTTCAGAGATTTATGACCCAACTCTACAGTCGTAGTTCTCAAACTTTGGTGTGCATCAGAGTCATCTGGAGGGCTGATTAAAACATGGATTTCCGAGCCCCAAACCCAGAGTTTCCGATTCAATAGGCGTGGCTTGGGATCTGAGAACTTGCATTTCTAAGACATTCCCAGGTGATGTTGAGGCACTCTGGAAAACACACTTTGGGAACCACTGTTCTAAAATGATGTTCTCTTCTTTCTTTTAAAAGAGAAACAGGAATTCCAGAGAAACTGCTAATTTAAGTAGAACTCTCCAATATGTTACCGACTTTTAAAAAAAATTAAATCTTGAAACAGATAGATTACTTGTCAATGCCCCCCATCCCTGCCCCAAATCCCTAGGGGCCATCCGTAGTCTCCCTAAAGAGGGCCTCAGAAAGGACCAGCAACAATCTTGTACCCTCTTGTTTTTGACAGTTCTTTTGCACTTTGGCTTTTCACTCAGTGCAAAATCCCAACTCAACTTAGAAGAGCCTGCCTCCTTTCCCAGGGCCACAGACGGGTACATGCAGACCACCACGTGGCCAGCTAAGGCAATCGACATTCAGAAATCAAAGGAGAGCGGACGTTCGCAAGCGCACTTTAAGCCTGTACATTTAAAGCTGAAGGCCTCCAAACAACCTGATAGGGGAACTTGTGAATGCGCGGTGCTGTGAGAGACATGCTTCCTAACGCTAAAACAAGAGGAGTGAGACCATGGAAGAATAATGGTAACTTTAGTTCGATTGGGGATCTTATGGCACCTGTGGTTTATAAACAGCTTTAGTAACGACTATTTCAAAACATAGTTCACAGTTTTTAAGAAGATCTGTGCTGATTTTAAAAACTAGATTCTATATCATTTGAATGTTGCCTTTTTTTGAATATGATCTCTATTTGGAAAAACATATTTACACTAAATTCTATGGCTGATTCATTAGAGTATCTTGAAAGAAAACAACCTCATGTTGGAACGAAGCCCCAAAGAATGGATTATTCCTGGAGTGTTTGGTTCACGTCCCTGCTCAGAGAGACCTGAAATCAACTACAGACCATGCAGGCCAAGGACTCTCCTTGGCTTCCAGGCTCAGAGTTTGCACATCAGGAATCACATCAGTCTGGGTTAGTGAATAATTGCAAGTAATTTTTTTTCCAATTACTGTTGGAAAAAAATGTAGTGTATAATAAACTGTTTCCAAATCTCAAAGAATCCAGAAATCGAATGACTAGCTAAAAACAGTATTATTATTGTCATTGTAAACTCAACAGGTTCAAGATCATGTGCAAAGGTTTAAAATGTTTGTTAACACTGCCATCATGTGTAACAGCAGTATGGGTATTTAGCCTGCATTTGTTTGTTTGTTTTAACCAGAGATGAGCCATGTTACAAAAGATGTAGCTGATAAGTTAGCTTTGAACAGAAGTCTCTTTTTTTCTTCTTTCTTTTCAAAACACATACCTATGAACTACAAATCTTAGAACAGAAATTGAGCTGCACTATAGGCATCAGAACACATCGTTAGGGATGGGGTCTGTCGGGAGCTGCTGGGTATGGTGGCTCCTCTCTTCGGTGAGGCTGCTGCCAGGCTGCTGTCTTCCTCCTCTTTGTGGGTGCAGCACTCTCCATCAGCACCAGTTTTCATGTTACTTTCATCATCTGTCTGACTATAGCTTGCCTGGGAATAAGGAATGTGTAATTTTTTTTAAAGAGGAAAACTGTTTCTAAATTACGGTTATGAAACTTAGGATCCCCCCTTTCCCCGACACACACATGCTTACACGCACATGAAACACACACACACACACACACACACATCTGCACACTGTGCTCCCTTCCTATGACAATCAAGAACTAATGTCCCAAGACATTGTGCATTGTTGCACCTTCTGAGAGAGAGGACAAGAAGTCCTCATTGTTCAGTCTTTTTCTCACTGGGAGCCTATGGCACCTGGAGGGGTCAAGCAACATAAATGGAAATATTTGTGCTGTCCTTTGGACGAGGAGACGAGACCGTGGGCTCACCATCACTTGGATATGGTCATTTTTCTAAAAATCCACTTTTGATGGTTCAGTCTTTTTTTTTTTTTTTTTTTTTTTTTTTTGACAGGCAGAGTGGACAGTGAGAGACAGAGAGAAAGGTTTTCCTTTGCCGTTGGTTGGTTCACCCTCCAATGGCCGCCGCGGCTGACACGCTGTGGCCAGCGCACCGCGCTGATCCGATGGCAGGAGCCAGGTACTTATCCTGGTCTCCCATGTGGGTGCAGGGCCCAAGGACTTGGGCCATCCTCCACTGCACTCCCTGGCCACAGCAGAGAGCTGGCCTGGAAGAGGGGCAACTGGGACAGAATCCGGCGCCCCGACCAGGACTAGAACCCAGTGTGCCGGCGCCGCAAGGCAGAGGATTAGCCTAGTGAGCCGCGGCACCAGCCCACACCGGCCCATGGTTCAGTCTTTCAATTTCTGAGTTAGGAAGTGATTGGCAAGGAAAGCACTGCACCGTAGGGTCACAGGATGGAAAAACGACATATCTGAGTGGGCTCCAATGGTGTTTTGGAGAGCCCTAGACTTAGTACTAACTTCTGTGTACACAGTGCTTCAAAAGTGGCTTCTTAAAAAGCAATAAACCAGATTGTATATTATTCACTCTTTTTAGTATGTTGATAAGTGCATATATATTTTAAATAGGTCTAAATGCCTTTGTAGCAGAGGATGAGTTTGCTACTTCTCTGGCATCCTGCTTTCTGCCCCCTAGCCATGGAGGGCTCTATCTTATGGATGGCCAACATCAAGCCCATGAAGTTGGCTTCAGGACCCTTGGATAAGGGATGCACACAATTTAGAATAATTTCTTGTCTTTGCAGCACAGTCAGAAAATGCAAATGAAAAAGACTTTAATAATATGAGCTGCTTTAAAATTTCATCTCTAATTTCTTGAATACAACTAGAAACATTATAGTAGGGGAACTAGCTGCAAAGATGACAACTCATTAGCTTTGGCAGTGATCTTAAATAGATTTTTTGCCCAAGAGGCTGAGTTAGCCACAAGCTGGTTCATGTTCAAAGTCTCATGGAATGCCAGCTAGGCGGGGACAGGATGCAGTAAATGTCAAAGGCACATCTGTTTAATTTTTCACTGTTAAGTTTTCAACAAAAGATTTAAAAAGTGGCTTAGAATGTTCAGAAATTTTTGACTTTTAGGCATAAGAAGAACCAAATGCCACTTGTTTAGTTGGGTTAATTCAAGGGCATTTTATTTGGCTTTTAAAAAACATATGTTTCTAAGAACTAGGTACTGATGTTCTTAACCAAGAGAACAAAAATGATCCTCTTGCTGGGACTAAGAAAAAGAGGATGCTATTAAAGGAAAAGGCTTGCTCCTTTGGGACTAGGTCTGTTATAGCTGGAGCAAGTATTTTCAGAAACAGCTCCTGGGAATTTGTTCACTCTTGTCATAATGAATCAGGAGAGCATGTGGTATAGCACACTTAAATCCAAGGGAGGTAGAATAGAGTGTGGTCAATAAGACCCTTCCTGATAGCTCATAAACTATACATCATCACAGCAATTAGGCCATGATTTTCACTTGCTTAATCTGAGGACTGAGACATGACATCAGTAGTGTTTGAGCTAGCACATACGAGGGTACTTCACAAAGTCCAGGGAAAATGTATCTTATTCAAAAGAACTAGGCATATATTTCAATTTTTTTGGTACCAAAACAAATTTAGCTTTAATTCAATTTCCCCCATTCCCTAAAGGGTACTTTTGGAAGTACTGGGACATCATTTAAAAATATAAATATAAATATAAATATAGTCTTTTGAAAGTAGCACCAGGACTCATTGAGTTTATTATCAACTGCACTACAGAATTATGGAATTCTTTGGTTGGGAAAGACAATGTGACCAAAGTAGATACAGGTCCCTGAGCCAGGCAGGCAGCCACATTACTGTAGGCATGTATTGGCTTTGTACTCTGATGGGGGATGGCTAAATGGCTATTTGCTGGAGCCAGACTATAAGAGGAGGTAGCCTGAGGTGTTTCAAATCATTGCACATTGCTGAGAAGTAGTCTTATTTATAGCAGTAGAGAGACCAAGCCCATTCTGAGTCGCGGTGGTTCTCATATACTTAGACAACACCATAGCAGCTCCAAGGTATTGAACTGGTTGTAAAGCACTGGGCATAGTGGCAGGCACATATGTGTAGGTTCGTCATAAATTACAGCTCTCTAAAGCTACATTTCAGAGAGTACAATTCCTCTATGAAGAAGGTATTATGTGCTCCACAGAGAAAACTAAAGCTAATATAGGTTTAATAATTTGTCCAAAATTATGTTGCTAGGATTTTTTGCAATCTGTATTTGAAGTCAGGTCTATTAGAGTTCAGAGTGTAAGCTTTAGACCACTGCACTTAAGTGATCTTCCAGTGGTATTCGCTTTATATTAAAAAATTGTGAGTACTTTCCAGGTATCTAGGTAGATCCTTGGGGTGGGATCACAAGTCATAAATGACATTTTAAAATAATTTATATACTGTACAATTCCACAATGGATTTAGATCAGCTATTAGAAAAATATAAGGCTCAAGACTATTTCTTCTGTTTTGATTCATTTTCTTTAGTAACACATGGTTTTGCTTTCACTTGCTAAGGTACATCCTGTGGATCTTTTCTAAGTACAGCGTGCATATGGAGTGATCCATCCTGAGAGGTGCTAAGCAAGCTTGCTCTGGTCTTCTCAAGCTCTAGAGAAGCTACAAACTCTGAATCCACTCTGGGTTGGTGATGTGGCCACAGAGCATTTCTGGGGTATCTCTGGCATTATAGAATTTTTGTGTTAAATTCCCTAATTAATAGGGTCAAAAGTCAAGTCCCATGGATGTCTGGCAACTCTCCAATGAATTATAAGGAAATGCTCCATGAGCTGAGATGATTCTTTGATATGAGCAGGGAAGGAAGGTATTTTATCACACAGAAGGAAACACCTAAGAGAAAGTGATTGTGAGTTTGGGTTACAAGTTATCAGAATTCAGTGTACAGTGTCCATGTTTCCTTCTAAATAAGAGAGTACTTACTTGAGAGGAGAGTGATAAAAGGATATTGCATTCAACCTTGCAAGCTGACCTGTGGGTGACAAAGGACACAAACAAGAGAGGTGATATGTCAAGTTGGTGATGCAGTCAAGCTGGTGAATTATTTGGCTGGAAGCCATGCACAAAGGCAGACAGGAAAGGAGAGGGAGAGAGAGACAGACAGACAGACACGACAATGAATGAAAGCAGTATTTTGATCCACACAATAACCATAAGTTCACAGATCATTCAAGGAAAACCACCTGCGTGTTCTTGAGGGCATGTATCTTGAGTGGGGACACACAGGCCCATTATGTTCTCCCAGCCCTTACCCTGCCTTTTCCATTAAAGTCACTGGCTACAGGAAAGAAAGAAGAGGAGGAGTTTAAGATCTACCACAGTTGGCAAACTCAATTGGACCCTAAGTTGTTGATAGAATTTCCCTTCAATTTACTCACAAAAGGTTAAATTCCTAATTTATAAAAATGAATAAAAATCTAATATTTTAAATGGAATGTAGAAGATTGCTGGTCTTAAAATGAATTTCTAGTACTTCAGTTGCTACTGTCACTAAAATGTGGAACTGATATGAGCTCAAAGAGGGAGGTCTAATAGGGTTTCTATAACAGCATGAACTGGAACAATGGTTATTTAGCTACATGTCTATCCCTCCATGCAGCAGAACCGTAAGAGATCCTTGTAGGTTGCCACCCCTCAGAGTTTCTTCCCAGCGATGCCCTGACAGCTTCATTCCAGGCTGGTTTCCTTCTGTGGGCAAGCCATAGAAGTTGCAAATAAAGAGTGCTCCCTTTGGGTTTGCAATCAGGTGACTGTTTATGAAAAGTGGGAGCATGGCTCTTTCTGAGTATAGTCACCCTCCCCTCTTTTTTGTATGACTAGACCCGTGGTTTTAGATGATTTAGTTGTGGTTATTAAACTGAAAGGCTAATGGAACATTCCAAGAGGAAACCCTTTTGTTTGATATTGTTGAGGTGGAGTATGTGGCCTTGTGTTTCCCTCTTGAATATTCTTGGGAAAATATTTCAAGGCTTAGTTTATAAACATAAAAGAAGCAGGAGACAGCTGATTCTTGCTACTTCTCTTTCCTTCATTAACAGAGTAAGAGAGGGCCACTGCTGACCTAAGAATGTGTAGAAAGCTTGCATGGCCATCGTACAGAAAGTCTGATGGAAAAAAAATGACCTGCTGGAGCTGGCGAACAGCAGGTCTCAACCAGCAAACATCTCGAGCTCCCAGAACCCAACCAAACACCTGCTGATGAAAGGGAGTAAAAACAGAAAGACAAACAAGGGAGCAGAATGATCTCCATGGGGAAAACACATCACCTTTAGGATGAGTTACCAGTTATTTATTCCCATTTGCAAGTCCTGTATTCTGAGAATTCCCAAATGGGTTAATATACTCTAGTACATCTGAAAATCATCCATCCATACTTTGCTGAGCACAGACCTACAGTTCCCCAACACTGGCGTTTGTCACTTTCTTCCTTACTTATATTTGGCATGAGGTGGGCAGTGAGGGAGGCTGAGAATGAATAATTCAAGGGAAGAGGTAGGTATGTTTATGCCTATTCAATTTCCTTGTGCCCTCTTCTTTGTATCCTTATTATTTTTATCTTTTTTTAATTTATGAAAAAAAAAAACCAAGCATCTTTCCTTTGGATCCTGGAGGAAATATGGACCATTAGTCACTAGGTTTCTGCTGACCTAATAAGGCCCCTTTCTATTTTCCAGACTAGAATTTATGAGTACATGGTGAGTGACCACTCCAAAAAGCATTCAAAATTTTTGCCTAGTCCATACATGGACTGACTGCGGTCAGAATATTCCAGAAGGGGTGGGGATGGGGAGTTGGAAGGAAGGAGAAGGCACAGATTTTCTGAGTATAAGACCAGCTACAAGGGGCTGGGGCTGAGCAGCGGGGTGGAGTGGGCTCGGAGCCCCAGTACCTGGTAGGCCTCATCCTGCAGCTTCTGTTTCAGGTATTCTTCCATCTTCAGTTCGTTCTCCAGCTGCCGGACAGAGTCACTGTCATAGTTCTCATCCTCAGGCCGCACGTAGGAGTCCCCGTCTTCTGTGACCCTGGCAATACAGTACAGGTGGCATTTTGGAGCAAATCTTAAAAAAGAAACCTGAGGGGAATCCATACATTGACTGCAGCTTTGTTGGTATGTTTACTTCCCTTACACCTCCCAATTCATGTTCATGTCCTCTTTTACAAAAAAAGGAAAACTTTACAAACATTGGCAGTTTGGAGAAAACATATGATCAAGACATTATCATGCACAATTTTTCCATGGCAATCTGGTTATTGCTGGTGTTTCTAGAGTTTACACCAGCAGGGGTGGGGAACCTTTTGCTGCCAAGAGCAATTTGGATATTTACAACATCATTTATAAATGATCAGCTTAAAAATTAGCCTGCTATGGGCCGGTGCTGCGGCTCACTAGGCTAATCCTCCACCTGCGGCTCCGGCACACTGGGTTCTAGTCCCAGTCGGGGCACCAGATTCTGTCCCAGTTGCTCCTCTTCCAGTCCAGCTCTCTGCTGTGGCACGGGAAGGCAGTGGAGGATGGCCCAAGTGCTTGGGCCCTGCACCCACATATGAGACCAGGAAAGCACCTGGCTCCTGGTTTCGGATCGGCGCAGCACGCCGGCTGTAGCAACCATTTGGGGAGTGATCCAACGGAAGGAAGACCTTTCTCTCTGTTTCTCTCTCTCACTGTCTAACTCTGCCTGCCAAAAAGAAAAAAAAAAAAAAGGAAAAATTAGCCTGCTATAGATTTATTGGATTTCAAGTCCTCCTTGTGGTTGCCTTGGCAGGGCCAGACCAGATGATTATGTAGGCCAGACATTTCTGGCCCTTGGTCACAGGAATGAGCTGGTCCTTTAAAAGGTTTTATAATTTTAAAAATGGCAAACGTGTGTGTGTGTGTGTGTGTGTGTGTATGTATGTGTTTTTGGTGGGAGAATATAAAGTTTTCTCAATCTGAGGGCTTTAAAAACAACTTTTTTTAGATGAAGCCCAAGAACAATTTCTATAAGAGGAGTGAGCCCTCTAGTGAAATAAAGCTTAAAGACATACACTCTATTTTTTTAATGGTAGAATCAAGCCTCAGAATGTCAGCCAATCAATGCCAGAAGGGGAGTACTCTAAACCCCAACTCTTAGCCTTAAACATTTATACAAGCTGAATATCTGAAAAATCCATTTAGGTTATCTAATTCTGCTGTAAAATAAGCAGATAAGAATAAACTTACCACTAATGTGGGACTCTTTCTCCATCTACTCATCTTTTAATATGAGAAGTGGTTCATGGGGCTACATATAAATTCACCAGGTATATCATCGTATGGTTAAAATATTCTCAGGGTAAAACAGTGCATGCTTAGACAGGACACATACAACTGAAAAGAATGGTCAAGGGAAAGTTTCTGGGTTGGAACTTGTATGTCATTGTTCAAATTTATTTATAGCTATACAGCATGTTCTTGTTATTTTTGGAAGTTTGGGACTAGTCTAAATAGGTCCATGAAGCCTCTGTGAACTTTTCCTCCCAACTCCTGAGTCACGTGTTGGTAGTTGGGGCTGCTAACCCAGCATAACAGGGACAGTAGATTGCAGTGGCTTTAATAGGATTGGATTTTAGGATTGGGATGAGAATGTTTTAGGTGACCACCATGTAAACGATTAATAAAAAAAAAGTCAAACAAATTTGTGTTGACTAGATAAAACAGGCAACAACTAATTCACCATTTGTGTAACAAACAAGTCGAACAATTCTAAATTATAGAGCAAAGGACAAGCAAGTGCACTAAAATTAGAAGCAGCAGCCTCCTGCCAATTTCAGTTACGTTCTAACAGTTTTGTTTTGCTGTTAGGTTCTGCTGCTTCACAGCTGGCTTTCAAATCACCTCTCTTGATAATTTTCCATCATTCCTGGTCTTGAATTGAGAGCCAAGACACCAGAAAGGCCTCTGGTTAGTTTCTTCTTTGGGTCTTTACAACAGCCAGGATATTTTCGTCAACTAGTCTAAAGCACTTTTCACATTAAGCAACACCACTCTTCTCAAGTTTCTTTAGTGTTCAGCCACTCCGTTTCCCAGGCCTCGGGTCAGCTTTTGCTCATGGTTCTCTACCTCCTTGAGCCTCGTTCTTCCAATGGCCCACTTCCCCCCTCATTTTCTTCTTTTCATTTCCAAGCTGGACTCTGCAACTTCTGTCATGTCTCTGCCTGTTTCTTAGTGTTGATTTGCTTCGCTGGCTACTCCGAGCTGACCCAGGGTCATAGAAAGTCTAGTGGGGATGTCACTGATTCTGCTGGCTTCTGTCCAGCCATGAACGCCTAAATGGGTAGAAACCTTCGAACCTTGCAGAATGGTCTTCCAAGGGTCAGCTTTTTTTTTTTTTTCCCCACAGGCAGAGTGGACAGTAAGAGAGAGAGAGACAGAGAGAAAGGTCTTCCTTTGCCGTTGGTTCACCCTCCAATGGCCGCTGTGGCCGGCGCGCTGCGGCCGGTGCACCGCGCTGATCCGAAACCAGGAGCCAGGTGTTTCTCCTGGTCTCCCATGCAGGTGCAGGGCCCAAGTACTTGGGCCATCCTCCACTGCACTCCCTGGCCACAGCAGAGAGCTGGACAGGAAGAGGGGCAACCGGGACAGAATCCGGCTCCCCAACCGGGACTAGAACCCGGTGTGCCGGCGCCGCAGGCGGAGGATTAGCCTATTGAGCTGCGGTGCTGGCCAAGGGTCAGCTTTATACATATTCTAGAAGGCAACCAAATTGATTTCTTTACAAAGAAGTTTTATACATTTACTTGCTTGAATTCTGATGTTTGCATGATGTGTTTAGATCCATTCTGAAGACAGTCCCTCCAGCATCTCAGGGCCCTGCAGTGAGAAGGGAGGAGGAGGCACCTCCTGCACTAGTCTAAGTCCAAAAGGACAAGAACAGTTTTTTAATATTACTGATGGTTCCCAATTTATGATGTCGCAATTTAAAATTGTTTGACTTCATGATGGGGTGAAAGCAACATTCAGTAGAAACTGTATTTTTAATTTTGGTCTTTTCCCAGGGTATAAATATGAGGTCCAACTCTCTTTTCATTTTTTTTAAGTCTTATTTATTTATATGAAAGTCAGAGGCGGGGGGGGAAGCAGAGAGAGAGAGAGAGAGAGAGAGAGAGAAACTTCCATCCACTGGTTGACTCCCCATTGGCCACAATGGCCAGGGTTAGGCCAGGCTAAATCCAAAAGTCAGGAGCTTCATCTGGGTCTCTCCTGTGGGTGGCGGCAGGGGCCTAAACACTTTGGCCATCTTTTGCTGCTTTTCCCAGGCCATTAGCAGGGAGTTGGTTTGGAAGTAGAGCAGCTAGGACATGAACCAGCACCCATATGGGATGTGGACATTGCAGGTGCTGGCTTTACCTGCTATGTCACAATGCTGTCCCGCTCCTACAACCCCCCTCCTCCATTCCCACCCCAATCCTTCTTTCTGATGCTAAGCAGCATCTGTGAGCACAGAGGAAATAAGCGACACTATGGTGTGCTGTGCTGCTAAGCTAGGAGGTTTGGTACGCTGGGTATATCCTACGTATCACATGCATTTTCGACTTGTGATATTTTTAATTTATGATGAGCTCATCAGGCTGTCACTCCATCGTAAGTTAGGAACATCTCTATTTTGTATAGAACTAGTGCAATGCCTTTGGTGAGCTGGGCTTTTAATAAGCACTGGTTAGTTGCGGTTATTAATCCTCAGGGCAATTTAAGTCATCTTGCTAAATCTAAATGCTGTGCCCTTCTTAGCTCTTCGGGCAGCAAAGGGAACCGCATTATCCCTTTCCAACACAGAATGGAACGACCGTGTTCTTACTTCCTGGCTGCTGCCTGTAGCTCAGCAGACTGCTCTGCTCGGAGGAAATGCTGCCGGGGAAGGCACTCACATGTCGCTGCGCACGGTGCTTGTGGTGGCTCCACTGTGAATGTACCCGGGCTTTCGGGCTTGGATCTGCGCTAGAAAAGCCTTTTCAGAGGTTGGTGATGGAACCAGATCCTCAAACTGGGTGCGGGTAAATTCAGAATCCACATTACTCTCCGTTTCACTCCCCACCTCTGGTAGGCACAAAGAAATAAAGATTGGCTTGTTAGATCTTTTAATAACCTGCAAAGGGCTCGCTTAACATGGATGCATCTGTCCCATATAAAATATTAGCCAGTTACCACACTTAAGTAAATTGTTTATTAATTTCAAAATGAGAATCAATACAGATATGAGTAACATAAAAATCATTTGGTATAAAGAATTTTCTTTTTGATCCTAAAAATGAGGAATTTCTGTGTGTTAGTAATTGGTGGTTAGGAACTATAAGCCCAAAAAGGTTATAGTCACTTAATATTACAAAAACATAAACTGGCAGTATTTGAGGCTTCCACAGCATTTGTTATGGCAGTGGATAGGTATGTGTCATTATTCATGATATAGAACTACTGCCATTTTATCTTATTTGGTAATCCTAATCCAAATAGCATCAAATGGTTTTTAATTACTTTAATTCTTATTAGAAAGGCTTTGAGACATTTAAGTCCAGAATTTTTTTTTTTTTCAGTAGATGAGTAGATGAAGGAACCGCTGAGCTAAAGCCAGGCCCAGACTTCTTTTAATGCTTGTTTCATTTCTTACAGTAATTGTAATCTCAACAGTAAGACCACAGTCCTGCTAGATAAATGCCTTACTAGGTTTGCTTTTAGATGGAGAGTCTTAGTAACTGGTAAGATATTTTGCATTTTCGTTCTGCTGAAGTTTTAAAACCTCTGTGTAGTTTTAGGAGTTTAAAGAGTCTCCCATGGTTTTTGCTGTTTATTTGCTGGGCAAATCTTTCTTTGGAGATATTACAAAGGTACATTTCTGTTTAGCCTCATTACAATAATCATGCATTACAAATTAATGGAGTCCAAATAGGTAAATAAAACATATGACCCTATCAAAAACTTTAGCAACATGCTACTTTGGGTCACCATATATTTTAATGGCTGTCTTAGGATTTTAAAATTATAAGTAAATTTTAATACTTTTCTTTATTTTGTCTGCCTTTTCCAAACCTTCTACATTGGGCATATATTAATAATGTTTGTAATAAGCAGAATATGAGCATTACTAAAATATGAATATACTAATAAGTATCTACATAGATCTTTAAAAAATATTTTACTATTTGACAATGAGCATACTGGCAAGAGAGGCCCTTAGCACCTCTGGATCTCTCCACAGTGGACAGAGGGGACAAGAGACTCACCAGAATTCAGCTCCTTCACGAGAGAGGACATGGTGTTAGTGATGGAATCTGCTGCTACTAGCAAGTCATTCCTCAAATTTCTTCTTGAACCTTCAGTGAAGAAAAAATAATAATTAAAAAAACAAGGCTTCTCCTTTTCCACAAATTTTCATGTTGTTTGCTAATCCTTTGCATTGATAATGACATGGCTAAGGGTTGATGTTTGTGTAATTTACTGTCCAAATTGGGGCAATTTTGAAAGTGAAAAGGAGCCATTAGTAAGACTGGGTGACCTGGCATAGACTGGGATGGTCCCAGGTAGACCAGCATATGTGGTCACCTTTGAAAGAATCATCCACACAGGTGAGAAGTCTTCTTTAGCTGGGAGAATTGCGCCTCCCCAGCTGCTGTGGTCATGGTAGCCTTCTCCTGGTGGCTGAGCAAGTGGGATCTGCAGAGTCTCTGCCTCCCGTCAGGGCTCTGGAGCTCTCCCTACCTGCATAGGTGCCTCTTGGGAATGGGAAATGTATGCACTAAACGCTCCCAGAGTGTGGGGAAGAGGTGAGGATTCTTGCTCTTGCTGCCAAGACACAGGCAGATGCTTGTCATGTGCCCTGCCTTGGAACTTAAGACTATGCTGAGAATTAGCTCATGGTAAAATAAGGATTATTATTAGTTTTAGGCACCATAAGGATTAGATGAATATTTGTGGGCTGGCTTGGGTATGAGACAAGGTAGAGTTGGAACAGTTTGGAAAAAAGGTTCAAGATTCCAGATATCTGCCTAACGAATAAATGGGTTTAGTATGAACAATTTGTGAACTAGAGGTTGCCTATAGGCCACATTTCATTCTGTCATGTCTCAGAAAGTGATAAGTAAAATATAAATACACTTAGAGTTTAAGAAATCAAAGTAGTTAGGTAAAGCCATTTGTCATATTAGAAAGCACAAACTGATTTACAAAACTGTAGATTTCTTTAAAATATTTCTTTGGATAAGAGATAAGAGTGTCTGTGGGAGCCTGCGCTGTGGTGTAGTGGGTAAAGCCGCTACCTGCAGTGCCAGCATCCCAGTGGGTGCAGATTTGAGCCCTGGCTGCTCCACTCTTGATCCAGCTTTCTGCTATGGCCTGGGAAAGCAGTAGAAGATGGCCCAGATGCTTGTGCCTCTGCACCTACATGGGAGACCTGGAAAAAGCTCTGGATTCTTGGTTTCAGATTGGCCCAGCTCCAGGCATTGTAGCCATTTGGGGAGTGAATCAGCAGATGGAAGATCACCTTCCCTCCGCCTCTCTGTAACTGTGCTTTTCAAATAAATAAAGAAACCTTAAAAAAAAAAAAAGAGAGAATGTTTCTTCACACTCTTGCTATCCTTGGATTATGAATGTTAAAAAAATTTTTAAAAAATCTGCCAGGTGAAAGGTGATATTTATTAAAATGTGTATTTCTACAATTCTCTGAGAGGTTGACCATCTTTCATATCTTTATTGGAAATACATATTTTTTTAAGGTTTTTATTTATTTATTTGACAGGTAGAGTTACAGACAGTGAGAGGGAGAGACAGAGGGAAAGGTCTTCTTCTGTTGGTTTACTCCCCAAATGGCCGCAATGGCTGGAGCTACACTGATCTGAAGCCAGGAGCCAGGAGATTCTTCCCGGTCTCCTATGTGGGTACAGAGGCCCAAGGACTTGGTCCATCTTCTACTGCTTTCCCAGGCCATAGGAGAGAGCTGGACTGGAAGAGGGGCAACTGGGACTAGAACCAGCGCCCATATGGGATGCCGGTGCTGCAGGCGGAGGATTAACCTAGTGCGCCACGGCACCGACCCCAGAAATGCATATTTCTTCTCACGGTTCATTACTTTCTTACTGGTTTTCACATGTTCATGTGTGACAAACTATGAAACATGATTGCATCTGAGCTGGAAAAGTTGTCCTCAGGTTTTTGTTTTTGTTTTTTTTTGTCTTGACTTTTTTCTATGCTTCTCTTTGCTTTACAACTTGGAGTCACATATGTCTTTTTTTTCCTTAGATTTATATGCGAGTTCCTGGAAGAATGCTCACAATATATTGCCAATTTGAAGAAAACACACTCTACAGCCTGAGGTGCAATGCATGATCTTGTTTGTATAGAAAGAAGAGTATGAACCTGTAAACACAATTTTAAACATGTCTCTTTGTATAAGCAAAAACTCGGGAAGGACTGTGACTTCTAGGAACGTGGTTCATCAGACTGAGAGTATCTGTGAGGGGAATAATTTTTTTACTGTCCATAATTTAAAAAGTGATGGTAAGAAAAATTTTAAGTCATTTTCCTCAGGACACCCCCTCAGGGCAGTGTATAAATGGAAGAAGCATCGCGTGGGAGAAGGCAGGTTGGCATCTCCATCCCACTTTGCACTCCTCTGCTAATGGTGGAGGCCTAACCTTATAGCCCCATATCACAGAGGCAGTGATTCAACTCTTGAGGCCATCTGAACAGGGGACCTGAAACAGGTAGATGGGAATAAAAAGTTCTGGAGCTCTATTATACAACTAGGTGACTACAGATAATGTTAATATGTATTATATTTCTTTATTTAAAAAGAATAACTAGAAGATAGGATTATGGATATTTTTACCATAAAGAAATGGTAAATATTTGAAGAGACAGATACATTTACACTGACTGGAGATTACACAATGTTATACACATATCAAAACATTACTTATTCTATAGATATGTACAATTTGTAAATGTGTTAACATTTTAAGAAATAATAAAAAATGACCAAATGTCCTTCTTGGTTATCTCAGAGCTAAAGAGCTGGGATTATTTATTTTCAGTGTTGAATTTTCTTTAATGTAAAGATGATAGCAGGAATAACCATTGTTCAGAATTTTGAAATGGGTTATATTTATAAAGCTTCCTGAGATATCGGTTAAAAGATTTTCCCATCCCTTGATGAGCAACCACTGACTAAAAATAACAGGGCAGGTGACAGAAGCCCAAAGGCGGCCAAATGCCGGCGTGAACAGAGGCGTGGGGTGTTCCTAAAATGGCCATGGGGTAGCCCAGAGTAACCGCGTACGGCTCCCAAGGCTCTTCCTACTCCACAGATCTCGGCCACTCATTCGCTACGTCAAAGCAGACCATAAGAAAGAACAAAGCCACTTACTTTGTGCAAACGCCTCTTGTACATCGCCCCCTACCCCCGTGAGGGAGTCCTGAGGCGTGTGGGTCGGGGTGGAGCAGGCGGAGGCCGACCGGATTGGCATGGGGATGGGCCTGCTGATGGTGTGGCTGGGGGAGGAGCGAGGAGAGCTTGCTCCCTGGGTCTGAAGAGACAACGCAAGTTGTTAATTTGTTTTCCCAAGAAAACGGCCCTATGTCATTCCCCATGTCTCCTCTGGTCACATGTTAAAAACTGTGATGGTGAACTCTCAAAGCTGAAGGAAATCCGACGTAATTGAGGTGGCAAGCCTAAACCCCAGTTTAGGTGGAGATAATTTAGGACCTTATTATATAGAATCGGAAGTTTGGGTTAAATGTTGAAAGCTAGGCATATTAGTATAGCACTGCTCTATAATACATGAGATGTGTGCCCATATAATGAATATAATGGTTAAACAGGGATAATTACAAGGTGTGTATTTTCTCCTGGAAAGAAATTTGAAGAATAAAGACATCAAGGAGAAAGTTTTAAATTCAAACTAGGCGGTGACTTGAGATGGATGTGGTTTATATACTCCCTGGATTTTTCTATCTGTGTGTCCTGGCATCATCTTTAGAGGCTAATTCACAGTTTAAATCATGGCACACAACATTATGAATGTCAAGTTCCAAATTAAGAATCCAATGAGCGGCCGGCGCCGCGGCTCACTAGGCTAATCCTCCACCTTGCGGCACTGGCACACCGTGTTCTAGTCCCGGTTGGGGCACCGGATTCTGTCCCAGTTGCCCCTCTTCCAGGCCAGCTCTCTGCTGTGGCCAGGGAGTGCAGTGGAGGATGGCCCAAGTGCTTGGGCCCTGCACCCCATGGGAGACCAGGAGAAGTACCTGGCTCCTGCCATCGGATCGGCGCGGTGTGCTGGTTGCAGCGTGCCGGCCGCGGCAGCCATTGGAGGGTGAACCAACGGCAAAGGAAGACCTTTCTCTCTGTCTCTCTCTCTCTCATTTCTCTCTGTCTCTCTCTCTCACTGTCCACTCTGCCTGTCAAAAAAAAAAAAAAAAATCCAATGAGGTGGAAGTGGCTTAATTCCTGTTGTATAGTATAAGCTGACTTTGTCAAATTACTCTGTGAGTCAGAGATTCTGATGGAGAAGAGTAAAAATAAAAATTCATTTTAAATCTTGGGCTACTGCTTCCTGCAGGAAATGTCTTTCTCTGCATCTACGAAAAGACAGTATTCTAGCAGGACCGTAGGAAGAGTTGGGTTTTGAAATAAGGAAAGAGAGAAGTAGAAACCAACTAAAAGCCACTTGTCCCTGCAGGACAGTCTTTGGTATGAAACCATTCTGAGACTGCCACACCTTACGTTTTGTTTTGTTTTCTATAATGCAGGTTTTGTTTCTATAATTCAGTTTTTTTGGAAATAGTCTACCTATTTTAATAATTAGTTGACAAAGGAAATCAGTCACACATGCATAAGAAAATTCAAGGAGACCCTCAAATGCATACACGGCACAGTAAGGGCTCACATCGATTCCATTCCAGTCTGCTGGGTCTGCCCAGCTAGAGTGAGAACTCTTCCACAGCAAGGCCTAGAGGTTCATTGCCAACCTATTCCAATGCCTACCCATGCAGCACAGAGCAAAGCTCTGGAATAGTCAATCTAGATTGTTGCTTTGGGTTTAGCTGCTTGCAGTTAAAACACACATCAATCCTATAAAATGCCATGCTGTTAGCTCTCCAGGGCTCAGAATCACACATAATTGTCAAAATCTACAAAATGAGAAAGATCTAGAATTAAAAATGAAGCAAACGAGAGCAGAGCACAGAAAATAACCCATGTGGCGCCCAGTGGGCTGAAGATTCCATTCTTTCAGTACCTTGTAATGGTCTGTCCAGGCCAAGGAAGAGCACTTTGCCCAGGAGCGACGCTCTGCAGCCTGCTTGGCTCGGCCTGCTCAGGGATGGCTCTGCTTCTCCCCAGCAGGCATTGGCAGCTCAGCCCCTTTACCTTGAGAACTTCTGCTTCTGAGCTAATGCTGCATCCCTCCCCACGCCCCCAACTGTTTCCCACACCAAGAATAGAGTGCTTCACCTTCGAGTTGTACTCTAGAATGTTCCGGGCAGGAGTTGGGGGGAGTGCTTCATGTACCTTCTCACTGATTTCTGTCTGTGAGCCTAGGAAGCAGGCATCATAGTTCTCCCTGTGCGGTTTGTATCCCAGTGCCCTGAGAGGTGGTTGGAGCCAGACTGGCCGGGCTGGAGGCTGAGCCTAGTGCTCTGAGAATCCTGGGCTATTGGTGGTCTGTGTCTGGTGGAGGAGGATCACTCAAAGGAAGAAGATACTGGTCAGGCACCCCGAGGGCTGCCTATCCCTGGCAAACCCCTGAGCATCTTATCAAGGCGCGGCCCTCAGAGGGATCCTGGACCTTTCTTGTCTGTCTTCTTTACCAGGGGACCAGTCACAGCACGGAGAGGAGATTAGAGACAGGAAGTGGCACAGGGTAGTTTTAGGCTCCTGCTGGCTACACAGCCTGGGAAAGCAGATCCCCTTCCATGGTGGAAGGCTCATAATCATACAGCTTCAGTTTTGGATGTTCTTTGCTGTGTATAAGGCACTTGTACATAGTTCTGTTTCATTTACCTAATAAAGTGGTAGGGGAGAAATCTATTTATATTTGAATGGCAATCTGTAGTCTATGGAGCATTTTAATCTCAAATACTTAGTCTTCCTAACAACTATATGGGGCATTATTCCCATTTCATAGATTAACAAGATGAGGCTCAGAGAGGATAATAGGGTTCCCCAAGGTCTCTAAACTAGAGAGTTTCAGAGATAGAATGGATCCCAGCCCCCATAGTACCATAGTGTCTTCTCAGGATTGTGGGTGTTGTGACCAGTCATGTGCTTCTGTCCATGCTCCACTAAATGGAGAAAGGTTTAGAAATCAGAAGGTTGAAATGGAGGAGGGCACAGACCTACTCCGTGTGATATTGGAGCAGCATCCTAGGGCCTCTTCCTGGATCAGGCAATGCCTTTCAGTCACTAAGTGATGGAGAGGTGTGGGTGCCCAGTGTGGTGGGAGGATCTTTGGGTGCTTTATCAGCACAGAAGTACAGGCCCAAGGTCTTCTTTCTTATCTACAATTTCAAAACCAGGAAAGCTCTGACAAGCATGTGCTATTTCACAATGATTTGGCCCAAATGGATCATGCTAATGGATGTGGTACCTGCAGTGTATTGTCTTTCAAAAACCTGAATGGATTCTGAATTAGGTACAAATCTGAACCCATTGATATCAGATATGGGGCCATGGCTATATTTCAAGTTTCTAATGGCTGTCCTGGGACTGCATGCACTGTAGCCCTGCTTGCCCTGTTGTCCAAGGCTCTCCAGCTCTGCTCATGGGGCTTTTCCCCTTTGGTCAGCGTTTGTAAGGAGAGGCATGCATTTGGCCCTTTGACCTTCCTCTCTGTGAGCCTCTTTCCTTCTCCAAGTGCACTAGGCTCTCCTGTTAACTGTGTGCGTGAGGCATTCCCAGTCCCAGCTTTCTCACATTAGCACCCTGCCTCTAACTCCAACGTTTCCTATTCCTTTCTGTCTGCCTCCTCTTCTGGTAGTGGTTGTGTTAAGAGACAAATACTTGATTGTGTTATGTGTTAAGGGAAAACAATGGACTGGATTACACCAATGTGCACATGGTTAATAGCCACCATCTTCTCAATGAATCTCTAGTTGGTGTAATTCCAAGCATTCTGATCATGTGAAGAATTTAGGTGGAAGATTCTGCATTGAAGAAAAAATTCAGTTGTATTTTTTGGGCAACTTGCAACTCCCAGTAATGTCCAGCTTTTACCTAGACTTGTGGTGGTAGGATGGTGACTCCTGGGTGGTTATGGCTCCTCTCTCTTTGCCAGAACACTGTCCAGTTTGATGCACAGAAGCTTCCTAACACCTACTTTGAGGAATACCTTCTCTGATCTTCCTTTATGTTCTGTCCTTGTAGGGACACTCAGAATGGGCAGCTGCCTCTTGGTATTGGGGCAAATCAGTGGTGATGCAAATGAGCTTCATTTTCATAGGTGGTGGCCCATGTAGAAAGGTGGCCTCCATCCTGGTCATGAAGCATGGCTGTCTGCCAACTACTGTAGAATAGCTGGAATGACTAATCTCTGTGGACATCCTTTCCTGGAAATTACTCAATGATTAATGGAGCAAAGACTTAAGGGACAGTGGTCCATGCAGATCAATATATAGATCTGAAATTCCCAAAGAGGGAGCTGATTTATGGAAGAAGGAAAACATATATCACACTTGGCAAATTTAAAATAGATCTCTTCTTAGAGAATAAATGAAAAATTAATTTCTGCACGCCATCCTCTGAGTATATTCAACCTTTTGTATCAATTTTTTAAAAAGTCTGACATAATCCATAACTTTTCTGATTTTTTTTCCCTAAAAAGTATTTTGGTTTATTTCTTAGTGCTTCAAGAAAAGGAGTAAATGTTAATTGCTGAACAAGGCTATCCTGGCGAAATACAGAGCAATGAGGCAGCCCTTTCTCAGGTTGGGCTGAGAAGTCAGGCCTGGGTGTACTCAGCAGGCTGGGAAGGCATAGCAAGGCTGCATTCAGCTACATCCAGCCCTCTTGTAGCCTTCTTCCACTATCCACGTACTATTATCACACTCATGGTCATTTCCATGCTTGGGCATGACTTGGATTTTAATAGTGGAGATTTCCAGGCAGAAAGGAGGAAGTAGCAGGCAGACAGAAGGGAATCCTGGGCCTTAGAATAGAATGAGCAAGGTGCTAGAAGCATAGGGGAGCGTGGCGGGATGCTGGCGAGGCCGGCAGGTGGCTGCAGCACTGGGTTCGCTGTGGGGAGTAGCAAGAGATGAGGCTGGGAAAGATCCAGGTTTGAAGGTCTCCACTGTGGACTTTACCCTGCACTGGAGGGTCATCCTCTAAGATTTTTGAAGGAGAGAAATACGTTTTACTTCTTTAGAATTAATCAATTACTAATTAACAAAGAAAAAGAGGTGAGATAAGGTGTATGTTTTTGAACACGAGATGATTGTCAGCTAGGCGCTGAGTATCTTTGAGGCTAATTACCTGCCTCCCTGACTATTGACTGGTTCATTAGTCTGAGGGAAAAGCACCAGAGAGGATGTACATGGAAAAGAAAGGAAGATGAAATCCAGGCTGACAAAATTGATCTTTTGGGACCTCCTCATATCTAGGATCATATCAGATGTTAACCAGAAATAGAAAAATGTATTATTGGACTGTGTTTGTCATTTTTTCTAAAATAATGAATCTGTTGTCTATTGTCACAAACAACTGCAATGGGTGGGCATTTGGCACAGTGGTTCAGTTACTGCTCAGGACGCCCACATCCCATAGTGGACAGAGGGGCTGGTTTGGAGTGTTGCCTCCCTGGCTTCTTATCGTTTCCTGCTAATACACATTCTGGGGGGTAGCAGTTGATAACTCAAGTTCTTGGGTCCCTGCCCCACATGTGGGAGATCTGGATTGAGCTCTACACTCCTGACTTCAGCCTGGCCCAGCCCCAACTTTTGCAGGCATCTGTGGGGTGAACCAGCAGATCAAGAAACTGCCTCTGCTTCTCTCTCTGCCTTTCAAATAAAATGAACAAAATTACAAGAGATATGAGCACAGTTCTTTTCAAATTTTCTCTCTCAATGGAGACAGTCAAGTAGGAGGCAGTCAGTCAATGCATGAGTGCAGGTGTGTAAAATATGGGTCAAATTTGAAAAGTTACACATACCAGGGTATTTCAACAAGTTCATGGAAAAATAGGTTTTAAAATAGCTTGTTGTGGGGCAAAAAATTTTTCAAATCCATGTGTTGTTTTTTCATAATATGCATCTTTCATGAACTTTCTTAGGACTTCTTATATGCATGGATTTTAAAAACTCTTTTGCACCAAACTAATGATTAATTCCTTTTCTCATGAACTTGCTGAAGTGCCCTCAGAAACTGTGTGTATGATATACATATGTATACCCACCCAGAATTGCCCTGCAGTTCATGTAGTATTTTTACAAAGTGCTTTCACACCCATTATTTTTTAGAATCCATAAAAAAATACCCTTTGAGGCAAGTCTTAGTCTCTTGGAGATAAATTATCTGGAAATAATTGACTTAAGGTTTCACATTGTAAGTAAAGAGCCAGGACCACTGAAATTCAGGCCTAATTCTAGTAATCTTGCAAAGATAATAATCACTGAAACCTTATTTTAAAAACTCAAAGTCAGTATACTAGGTTTCAGACTGGTATGCATGCTATTTGGAAGTGGAAATATACCAGGAACCCTGGAGCATATCAACACTACAATTACACCCCAGCTGCCTTCATGATTAAACTTTTTATGAGTGTTCTTTTTATGATTCCTTCAATAAACCTTAAAGATACACAAAGAAGAAAGAGGGTAGGATGACTTCAATTCAAGTTTTGTAAAAAAAAATTTATTGCTTGTGATACCATAATCATCATATTATATTACAGGCACTATTTGTTTTTAAATTCATGTTCTCTCCTCAAGGGGAATAAATTCATGCATTACCTCTAACAAGAAACAGTATAAGTAGGAATTATATATACCAGCATAATAAAACACTACATTGAACCACACAGACTTATGATAAAAGCAAGTAGAGGTTATTAAATCAAGCACAATGTGTTGTGTGGGGGTGTTTAAAGTTTGATTTTACAAAGAGAATGTCCCCAAAGGGGAAAGCTCACAAATAAAAACAGAATTTAGAAGCAGATGCCACTCTAAAACTTCTAAATTCTCTCCTTAGATCATGTTATAACACGAGAAGTCTACATACTTGTATGACATTTGCTTATTTCCTTGTAGAGTTGCTTCCGTAGGGCTGGTATTGATGGGCTTCTGTTTTTCATTCTGACTGAGGGTCAGTATTAGAAAGAGCCACATGACATCTATGACTGCAATTTTTCCACTTTATTATTCAGTACAACTGTGAAGCTCTGAGTGGAGCCTATTTTTTTATGCTTTCTGTCACAGAAATTTTGGTCTCCTGAGAAGTGGTATGTTTATATCACTAAAACCACTGATTATATTCTCTGTTTGCCTCCTTGCCAGAAAGCTCAGAGTCACACTCTTATCCCTTATGATTAACATATTCACATTTGAGTTCCCTTAGTTTTTGATTTTTAAATTTCAATTTTATGAAGTCTGTCTTTATATCTTTTGTTGTAAGCTGCCTCAGACCCTTTCAGAAAAGTAGCTGGAGTGTAACAACCAATCAATGAGTAAGATGGGAAAACTATCCTACCCCCCAGATAACTACTGACATCTTTGGGTCCAGACCATGACCCCTTGGCACTATGCTGCAGCGCCCCCTTCTGGCAAGCTCTCCAAGTTGCAGAAGCTGCCCAGGGGCTTTGTGGAGAAGCTGAAAGGGGTGGTGGTGGCAATGATGCAGAGTTACAGGCACTGCCATAGTTTGGCCCCGAGTGTACGATTGTTATCAACTTCCTGGTCCATGAGAGCCTTTCAAGAACGTGCTGCCTGGGAAATGGTAGGGAGGGGATTCCCTCAGGAAAATGGCTAAAGCAAGGCTGACCAACTACAGGACCATGGCCCCCTCTGTCCACTGGGTGGAGGAAGGTTATACTTGAGTCTTATTTCCTTTTTCAAATGCACACTCTAAGAAAGAGACAGGAAAGAAAAGAGGCATTTTGCAAAGGGAAGTGCAAGAAAAGGGCATTTTTCTCTACCATGATCTAAGTGTGTTGGGAGTACAACAGCAATACCCCTATGCACGCATTCATGGGCAATTATACAGGCTGCAAATCCCTCACCCAGGGGGACTGTGTTCCATTAAAAGTTAAGTTTAGTAATTTTTTTTAACAAAATACAAAATAATGTAATACATTGTCTTTATTGTCTGACATTACAGATTTTACACTTTCCTTTTTTTTTTTTTTAAACAGACGATGGGAATGAAGGATAAAAATGTGTCCAGCATTTGGCAAACATTCTTTGTTACACACAAACACACACAATGAGTAATAGAAAAGAGCATACAGGAGAATTAAAAGATACGTTGAAATTGGACAGACTGTGGTTTTAACTGATCCATGGAAATAATGTGAAACTTCTTCATAATGCCAATGGGTGGGATATATTGTCATACACAACTTGGTACATGCACTGGAAATTATGACTGTTTTATTTTGCTTTTATATAATTATGTTTCCTTTTGAGTATGCTGCTCCCTCTGCTGGCTTCTGAACCTGATCGCAGGGTCAGACGTAGGGCTCCAGTTTAGGCTAAGGTGAAAGTCACAATGCCCTCTATTTCCAGAAAAAGAAAAATGTATGTCATGATCCTGTGAACTCCCAGAACAGAACAATTCTTGGCGATAGGAGAAAGGCTAAAAGCTTCCTATTCATTAGACTACTGGCAACCAACAGTTGGGATTCTGCTTTGGGGAAGAATCAAAAAGATGAGAAATGAAGCCCATTACTGGGGACAATATTTCTCTCATAAGATTGAAAACATTTTGGCGAGCAATGGGAACAGGGCTTCAAAATTATATGATGTGAGGACATGAAAAGAGGTTTTACACCTTTTCAGTAAAATGGAAACTGCTCTGTATGCCCACGGCATGAGAGGATGTGGAGGTGAGCTTCTGTGTGCTGCAGGTTTTGAGATATTGCTGATGTTAGCATAGTCTGCTGAAATGGTGGTGGTGTCTTTATATTAACAGAAGGGTCTAGTCAACAGCCCTGAAAACCATAAGACTGTTTTGAAACTTATATATTTTGGGGTCCACAGAGTTGTCAATTAATTACAGTTTGTTCTCTCTTCTAAAAGATTTAATAGCTCTTTTGATGCCCACAGTAGAGATAGTTATAAAAACGCTAAATTTCATAATCTCAATTCAAGCACTACATTGAAAAGGAAGCAAATTAGTATGATTTTTTTTCTTTCCAAACTGAAGCATGAACATACATTAGAGGCAAAAGCAATGAGAAAATCGGCAGGATGGCAGGCCCCTCCACTGTTAGTTAAGACCTGCAGTAGGGGACATAACTTACTCCCTGCTTCAGTTCTTCTTCCTACAGAAAGATCGAATCAATAATAGTTAGATTACCCAGGGTTCCAGGAAAAGCAGGTATATACAGTGTGAAGAAATGCAAGATGGGAGACACATCAACATGGCTTCAAAGGCAGATCCAGGCCTCTGCCACTTCAGTGACTACAGTTTCAGGTCTGTTATGATTTAAGACTACAGACACATCTCTTTCCTCTATGTGTCCAACCATCTCTCAGAATGACCTGTTTCTCTAGCCTGGTGTTTATACATCCTGGTAATGGGTTGTATTCACTTGGGCCAGGTTGCTGTCTAGGTGTCTGATGGTCAGTAATCTCCTATTCATCACTATGTTGACAGAAGCTATAGGAACGCTAGCAAGGTACAGTGCTCAAAGCTTCCTGCCATTCAATGAAGGATAACATGGGTTCAGACCTCTTCATTTTGTACAATTGTATAGAGAAGCAGGAAAGAAATTTTCTGTTTCATCAAATAAGACAACAGGCCGGAAACAGCAGCAGGTTATTAATTATCTTATCCTGTCTTACCACAAAAAGTAGGAAAAAAACCATGAATTCTACACTTCACATGTCTAATATACTAATAAAGTTTTTTGGAGTAAAGATAAAGCATTCCTAATATAGATTGCTAAAGAGGACACTGATGACAAAAAGTTGACTGAGGAATGAAAAAGGAAAACAAAAGAAATGTTACAAGAGCAGTGCCTGTGATTAAAAATAATTTCTGTTAGGGAAATAAATGAAAAAGGGAAAGAAGAAGGGAGAAATAAAGAGGAAGGGAGGGAGGAAGGAAGAACCAACAATACAGAAACAACAAATTGTCATGTGTTGGGGATGTGAGTGACGCCTGAACTGAAAAGCAGGACCTGCTGCCTCACAGGAAGGCAGTCCTGGGAGCTTCAGTTCCCGGCTTTGGTGTGTCACAATTCTAATCTATATTAGTTCCTGCTTCTTTACATCAGGCAAGGTGACTACGCAGCTCTGACACTCCTGCTGGCCTGTGGACACAATTCATCTACTTTTTGACTTGAACAGAAATTCAGTGTATACTGAAGGAAGGAATGAGTCTTTATCAAAGGAAGAATGGCACTTCAAATGAGAATATCAGATTATAGCACTCCACAGAGGACTTCTGCAGATACCTAAATAAACTCTGCCTATAGAAGAGTAAGCAGATATTCCCACTTACTGTTTGCATTTGAGACCTACAGATGTCGTGTGACTTGCTACTAAAGCTATACAGATGGCTAAAACATCCCACTGAGATTAACATGTTACTTCTTTAATAAAACTAAACTTGCCCATGTTATCTAGTAACTATATTTTAATTTTCTAAACTAGGTAGTAGCCTCTATTCAATTATAGTCAAAGTTGCTGAAAGCTATTAAATGTAAGATATTTCTTAAACAATTCCATTTTATTACTTTCAAGGACATAAAGGAATGGGGAATAAGCTGAGAAGAAATTTCCCCATGCAGGGCTTCAGTAGTCTGGTTGTAGGAAATGGATTAGAAATGAGATCTGTAGTTGACTGCTAATGACTCACAGGTCTAACAAACAGCTCTGTACCTGAGTTTGAAACAACACATTGGGGGAAATCAGGTATATTAATTGGAAAAATAATGGCACATTCTGTATAAGAGACCTGACACATGCCATAGCAACAGACTGAAGAAACTTAGTAGAAATGGCTGACCTTTAGCAGCTTCATGAGGCCTTCCAACTGGACCATTAGCTCTCTCCGGCTCTCCTGGAGAGCAGACATTCTCTGCTCCAGCTCATCTTTGCGCTGTCTAAGAAAGAAGCAGTTGTCATCAGAAACAGCATTCAACTCGCTGAGTTACCCTTCCCGGTTCTGTGAGACTACCGGACTCTGAAGAAGGACACCCCTTTGCATCTTTGACATGGTTCCCAGACAGGTAACTATCGTCAACCGAACAACTGCAGCTGGGCATATACTGCTGCTTGTTAGAAGCTGTCCTGCATTTAGAAAGAATTAAAACCCTTTCAGACATTTCCACCCGTTGACTATGACCTAACTGACCATTTAACAAGATCTTTTCTGTGGCAGGCCTTGTGTTGTGCCATTGGCTTCCCTTGAGACAACAGGCAAAAGCCAAATTTTCACTGAAAAAGGCCAATCTTCCAGGTCATCTGGATCCAAAGATTCTTTTGTAAATTTGCAGAAAATACTGATTATCTGGTGTTCAAAAACATGACTTATAAATGTATGTTTTAAATAGTTTTCATCCCCAGTATGCAATGTGGTAACATTCAGAGTTGAAATATTAACGTGCATAGTTATTACAGACAAATCTAAGTTTTTTGGCTTGGGTTTGCTTTCATAAAGTGATGTGGTAATAAAGGAATTCCTATGTAATTGACCCACACCTGAAAATGATATATAAGGTTTGTGTTTGTTTAATTTTATTTTGTTCTAAAGAACTTTTATTAAGATGTCAGGCAGAATGGAAACCACTAAGGACAATCTACGTTCCATCATTTAAGTTGACACTAAGAGGTACCAGAAATATCTAAAAAGGAAAAGAAATGAAAAATGGAGAATAATATTATAATGGCTCACATTTTTAAAGGATATATATACTTTCAAAACCAATTTCAAATCCATTATTTTATGATCATTAGTGAATAAGTAATATATACAACTTTCCCTTGCCCTAAAGGCTTCTGTTTGAGTTTGAAATATTAAAACTTATATTCTATAAATGTGTGAATGCTTTAGCTGTGTATGGATTAATGCATGAACTGATGTGGGTACTCTTGATGGCACAGACACCATATTAAGGGAAGCTACAGCAGGAACTCAGACATGAAAAATGGACAATATAAAAATGTCATATTGAGTTAGGTCAATGACTCATTCAGTTGAAACATATTTTGTAGGCTGTCAGGTTAGGGCTATAAATGAGACATTTCTAATTTGTTTTCATACAGGCTTTCTCTATAATGAATTTTGAATTCAAAATTTATAAACATATCTCGGTCTCCTTTGACTATACTTGCATTTATATTTTTAAACTTTGATTGTCATTTATGGCTCATTCCTGAAGCAATTCTTCCTTGAATCCCCTTTATAACTGCCTCTCTCTGCCTGCAGGGGATGAGGCACATCAACATTTCATAGGCAGTGGTGGTGCTATCTCTTTTTTTAGCGCTTGTCTCTCTGGGCTAACACTTTCTAATTTTTAAAGTCTTGTCCCATTAAAAAACACTCTTCAATGACAAATCCATTAATTGCTTTTCTTTGATACTGTCTTCATGTGGTGTACTGAGTACTTCAGAGTATGCTTGAAATAAGAGTAGGTCTATCTCTGGTTATCTTTTGTATATGGGCCTGTAGTTTTTGGTATTTTGGAATATTTTGAGAAGGTAAAAGGAAAATTCTAATATTGTAAGTAAGAAACACATAGGCATTTAAAGTTAACAGTATGAATTTACATTTAAACAGTTAACACAGAATTAGTCAACATTAAAATCTTATTTATATGTTTTTCTTACAGTAGTAATCTCTTAAAAATATGACATTGAGTTAAACTAAAAAAAATTTAGTAACATCTTTATTTATTCTTCTCTATAAGTGTTTACACCAGTGACCCAGTAATAAATCTGTGATTAGACTCCACCATTCCAAAAAGAAATGAGAAAACAAGGATTAAATAGTGATTTTATTTTCTGAGAGTTAAATGTATTCATCTCTAGAGGAACGGTTTTTATTTTGAAAGTCTATCATGATATTTTAATATTGCATGTACTTTTTAAAGAGATTTATTTTATTTATTTTAAAGGCAGAGAGAGAGAGAGAGAGAGAGAGAGGTCTTTCATTTGCTGGTTCACTCCCCAAATGATTGCAATGGGGCTGGGCCAGGAGCTTCTTCCAGGCCTCCCACAGGATACAGGGGCCCAGCACTTGGGCCGTCCTCAGCTGCTTTCCCAAGGAAAATGTACTTGCAGGGGGCTGGATTGAAGTGGAGCAGCCAGGACTCGAACCAGCACCCAAATAGGCTGCTGGAATTTTAAGTGGTGGCTTAACCTGCTACACCACAACACCAGTCCTGTATGAATGTTAGTCTATTTTCTTTTAGGATAGTGTTTAGACAATTGGTAAGATTTTAACATGAATTGTATTTTAGATAATATATCCATACTAAACTCCTGAATTTGAAAATAATTTTTTCTTATAAAGTATATGCATATATATAAATACTTAGGGGTTAATAGTTATGATGCCTCCAACTTTCATTTACCTTATGTAAATCTCAATTTTCTTGTCTATAATAGGTGAAAAATAATAGTGTATTTCTCTCAGTCTTCTTATAGAAATTATATAGGACAATGTATGTAGATCTTAGCGTATTGTAGGTATCAGATTACATATAGAAATGCCTATCATATAATCCCACCTCTGGGCTGCAAAGTTGGCTTTCATTTTCCTGTGGCTAAAGTAAAGAGAGAAGCATGATCATTTATAATTGAGTAAGACTGATTGACAGGTTCTAGATTATAGGCTAGATAAAAGAAAGAGGTTCTGGAGTTCTACTACACAGTGGAATGAATATAGATAAGGTTAATTTACTGTAAATTTCATTATAAAAAACTAGAAGATAAGATTTTGGGTGTTTTCACTATAAATAAATATTAAATGCTTGAAAAGATAAATATGTTTACCCTGATTAGACATTATACATAGTCTGATCTTTGTAATGAAACATCAATACTATTCTATAAGTATGTACATTTTATATATGTCTGTTAAAATTTTAATAAAAAGTTTCATAAACAATGAAAAATTAAGACTATTAATTAAAACTATGCATTCCTGAAAAGCATCGCTCTGCTCGCTTCTTCCCTTTCCCTGTCCCCACCCTCTGAAAGAAGTTTGTCCCGTTGGTTTCTCAGGAGGACACTCGGAAAGGATGCAATGGAGAGGACCTCTATGAACGTGGTAACGAGGGGCTCCTGTGGCTGCTCTCTATGGCCACCTCTCAGTGTGAACTAAAGCCAAAGTAACTTTGCAAGAGCCCATGGTTTTGCAGTTCTTTGAAGTCTGAAATGGCAAGCACATACCCAGGTCAGGATTTCTTTCTTTCTTCTTCTTTTTTTTTTTTTTTAATTTTGACATGTAGAGTTATAGACAGTGAGAGAGAGAGAGACAGAGAGAAAGGTCTTCCTTCCATTGGTTCACTCTCCAAATGGCTGCTAGGGCCGGCGCTGCACCGACCCGAAGCTAGGAGCCAGGTGCCTCCTCCTGGTCTCCCACACGGGTGCAGGTGCCCAAGCACTTGGGCCACCCTCCACTGCCCTCCCAGGCCACAACAGAGAGCCGGACTGGAAGAGGAACAACTGGGACTAGAACCCAGCACCCATATGGGATGCTGGCACCGCAAGGCGGAGGATTAACCAAGTGAGCCACGGCGCTGGCCCCCAGGTCAGGATTTCTTAAGCGGGGTTATCAGGTACCATGCAATCCCCAAATTGTGAAAATGCTTGACACAGAGTGCGTGATTTATACATGTCTACAGAGAAATCCCTTCAAGGGAGAGAGTGTCTTTTCCTTCCAGGCAGAAGTACAATGAAGAATATGGAGGTGGGCAAGCCAATCAGCTGGGACTTCAGCATGTCAGGCCTCACACTCTAGGTGACATGACGGCTGATAGCACCAAAGTTCTGGGCAAAGTTAATGTAGCTCTGGACTCAGCTGGGGTCTTGGGATTCCCACACATCAGGGCGAGGAAGGGGTTAGAATCAACATGTTATTCCAAGATGGCAACACCAAGGAGGAAAGAAATGCCAGTTAGAAAATGTAGTATCAGTGACCCAGGAGCACGTAAATTTTTAAGTGTAAGAGCCTGGGCTGGCGTCACGGCTCACTAGGCTAATCCTCTGCCTGCAGAGCTGGCACGGTGGGTTCTAGTCCCGGTTAGGGTACCGGATTCTGTCCTGGTTGCTCCTCTTCCAAGGCCAGCTCTCTGCTGTGGCCCGGGAAGGCAGTGGAGATAGCCCAGGTCCTTGGGCCCTGCACCCGCATGGGAGACCAGGAGAAGCACCTGGCTCCTGGCTTCGGATCGGCGCAGAGCGCTGGCCACAGCGTGCTGGCCATAGCAGCCACTTGGGGGATGAACCAACGGAAAAAGGAAGACCTTTCTCTCTGTCTCTCTCACTGTCTAACTCTACCTGTCAAAAAAAAAAAAAAAAAAAAAAAAAAGCCTGAAGTATTTATTTAGCTGTTTATGTGTTTTGTTGAGCCTTTGTAAAACACACTGCTAATAGTGCAAATAACTAAGGAGAACTGAGTTCAAATTTTTTCCAGTGAGAGATTTTATTTCTCCCATCCAAGTCCTAACCAGGCCCGACCCTGCTTAGCTTCCAAGATCAGATGAGATCGGGCACGTTAGGGTGGTGTGGCCATAGACGAGAGAGATTTTATTTCTGACCTAAAAATTCTCTTTTACTTTTCTGTGTTAAATGAGAGAAATACATATAAACAGCTTCTTCCCAAATGTTGTCAATTAGGCACGTGCTGTTAAGGAACATTGTGACGGTGCAGCGCTGTTTTCCGGCTAGACTCGGGCAGAGTCCATTCAACAGCGCCACCGTCTCCATTCCCGAGCTGACGCGTGCCCTCTCTTACCTGAGGAGCCGGAGCTCTGCCAGCAGGGTGGGGTTTTGCTGCGCCTTCTCTGGTGCGGGCTGAGAAGCTTGTTCGTGCTCTAGCCGTAGCCTCTGGATCTCCTGTAAGATTTCTCTTGGGAGAGAGGAGGAAAGTGAGAAACCAGGGTCAAGTGACTTCCAGAATGGTAAAATCTGAGCCGATCAGGGCCGGCAGAACAGAGAAGGGACTTGGTTAGGTTGAGGAGCAGAACTGATCTACGCCAACCAAGAGACTCCCAGTGCTGATGAGGCTTTGGTGGCAGCTGGTTGGGTGCTGTGGGTGAGGGGAACACTGGCTTCCCATCCAGCACGTCCCAGCCACGAAGCTCTGCCGTCTGTTGTTCAGAGTTAGCACCAAGACCCAGCAATCTCCCTGGTAGGTAATACGGAGCTACGGTAAAGTGGACAACTTTGAAGAGCACGCTGTTTAGGAGACAAAAATGTCTCTTCCTATTATTTATGATCATACTCTGTCCCCAGAAAGTATCTGTAGCCACCAAGTAATAGGTGCTTGGAGGGAAAATAAGGATAAATGGTGCTCATTTCACAAAACTACATAACCTCATTCTCTCAACAAGAATGAAATTCTTTTTTACTGAACTTATCTGAGAAGCCCTCAGGTAGGCAAAAATCTTTTTCTTTCTTAACCATTTTTCTCCTTAATAATGGATCCCAAAGAGAGCAGCCTTAGAAGCAAAGTGCTTTTAAAAGGATTCACTGTGATTGAGTCTGTGACACAGCATGTATTGGTGTGACCTATGTGGAAGGGTGAGATGTGTCAGGCTGTTATTGATGTGGGGGCCTGGGCTGCCTGGCATTTGGGTGCACATGAGGCTGGACATAAAAGATGTGACTTGTGCAAGGTGAGTGACTCCTAAGTGAGTCAAAGCCATTAAGCAAGGTTATATGTTACACATTCTTGGGGATTGGGGGTGTCAGTCTCATACTCAACAAAATGTACAAGAGCCAGTAAGATAGAACAAAGCACTAAGAATGGCAGGTGGACTCAGTGGGCTAAGGGGCGGGTGCCTGTCCATTTGAAAGGCTGATTTCCAACTTCCTGCTTCATAGTCCCATCAGAGAAACGGGGCTACCTGCCAACGAGTCATCACACCTCTCACGGGAAGGGTGAGAAAGCTTCACTGTAATTGCATGGGTTTCCACTCTTTTTTTTTAATTTCCTAAGGGAAACCTTTTAAGAAAAGAGCCTTTCACTGAATCTCAGTATGCCAGGCAGTGAACAGGGACTATCTCTGGTTTCAAAAAAGGGAGGGACTTCTGCAAGCCCCACCCCCAGGTCCCACATTGTTCAACCTGAAGATCAGTGAGCTGGGATCCCCAATATTTCTTACAGGGCTAAAATCCTGATCTTTTAGGACTCCTGCTAGGTTTTCTTGTTGGTTCCAAAGACAGAACCATGACTGAGAGTTTTAGTCCAAGGAAGGAAAAGAATGAAGTAGGTCTGGTAAGAACACATAATGGAAAAATTCATAATGGACACTGAGTGCTTGGAACTATGCCATCTTCCTTGATCTTATTTATTTAATCCTATAACAGTTCTAGGATTTATAGGCACAATTCTTGTATCTCTGTTTCATGATTGAGAAAATCAAGGCAGAGACTAGTTAAAAGACTTGCTCTATTATGTGGTAGAGGTGATCTGAACCCAGGTCAGCTAATTCCAAAGCCTGTATATAACAGACTGCTTTGGTCTTCTGAGACTTATCATGGTAAGTGTAGCCTATGCAGGCTATGATTTGTGAAACACCATTTGAAACATCCTGTTATCCGTATACTACCCCAATCTGGTCCTGCCCGGGTGCTAAAAGGAAGCACTCTAAAGGTTATCACTGACATGTCCGTGAATTACCTAGGGTTAAAAGTCATGAAGCAAAGTGAGGAACTCTATCTTCCCCTTAAGCTCAGAGTTCTGACGATTGGGTTAACAGTCACCCTGGAGACCAAGGACCCAGGGCGGGGGTGGGGAGGGTGGGTGTCACCTTTCCTAGTGCAGGAATACCACTTGGATAAGTGTCTAGCATAAGGCCCTGGGTTTTTGCCGAGCATGAGGCTGTTGGCTTAGAGAGATGAGTTCAGGACAGATTAGGTGCTAATCAGGGATGGGGTGGGACTTAGGAACCATGAAAGAACAAAGGGACAGCATAGAGCTCTCTGCCATCTCTTAGAAAACAAACAGCATGCATTCAGAGAGCTCAATGCAAAAATGTCTAGAAGCAAGCCTTCAGAATGGTATCAAGGCACAGCAGAAGTCCTTAGGACATGCATGCTGCTTCCTGCTGATTTTGGAATCTGGAACAGACCCAGAATAAGGATGCACATATTTTGGATATCTCCTCAAAGGAAGCCCTGATTCTCTCCCCCTGCCTCCCAAGTGAGCTCTCCTCAGGCCTGAGTGGAGGAGAGGATTGGAAGGGAAAACAAAGTGCTCTGGAGAGGTGGAAAAGCAGGTGCACACTGCAACCAACATATCTGTGGGCTTGTGAATTTTTACTTTAGTCTTTTCTAAGAAGAGAACTCTGTGCAAACTCAGGCCAGCTTTGACCTGCACCTGCTGATGTCGCACAAAGACCTTCTTTGACTCTACATTTTATTTCTTTTTCTCACTGCCACCTCTGACTTTATGCTTTATTTCAGGACAGATGTGTAGGAGAAAGGAAAGAACAAGAGAGCGAAAGAACAGAGTGCTATTAGCCTTGAGTTGTGTGATAATTGTTGGAAAACCCAGAATCCTAATAGAAAGTTAGAAGTGAATAGCAGGATTTAGTAAATTGACATTCATGAAATGTTTATTCTATTTTCTTAGTCATCTCCTGTTTTGGTTCTTTTATGTCCTTTATTTCGATTTATTTCTAGTGCCATTTATTCTACATAGGTCCTCACCACTTTCGACAGCTTCTAGTCAATCCTTTGTAAATTCAACCCACAGATTTAATAAGCTGATTATTCATTTACCATAAAGATGTAGGTATTCTGTCACTTTGTTTACCACTGCTATCCATAAAAATAAAATCCAAATTGTTTGATCTGGTGTATAAACCATATACATGTATACTTTTTATGTATGTAAATTTTTATACATATATATTTAAAATTAAGGTGTTGTAGGCATTTGGGGAGTAAGCCAAAGGATGGAAGAATATTCCCCTTCTCTGTCACTCTGGCTTTCAAATACACAAATAAATAACAAAACTTCAAAATTGACAGGGAGGGATCATATATGCCATTTTTTAAAATTACTCCAGCTATGATGTGAATACATCTCTTTGAGTGGTGGTTTCAAAGGCTATGGAGACATGGTGTCACATTTATTAAGATATTTCCATTTTAATTTAATGGTACGAGCCAGCTCTTAAGATTATCAGGCCAAAAGCCTTTTTACTGGAAAAACCATGAAAATGTGCCAACAGTGTTTGCACCTTCACTTTTATTTTTTTTTTCTATGAAGTTTAAAGAATACTTTGACCATTTATCTCAAAAGTTTCAGGTCAAACTCTACAGGAACGAGATAATTATCACATCTTGTTCTTTTACTCTACAAGTGTGACCTCAGAAATGACATCAGAGTTTAATAAGGGATTGAGCATTAAGATATTTTTTGGACTTGTCTAAGAAGTATAGAATAAACAAGTTGTTTCTGTATTGTGTTTCCTCAGCACTGAGTTTGGGATCTTACTTGGCAATACATTATTCTGTCACTCAGTACTTATATGCTGAGTTCCTGCTTTGTGTCAAGCATGGTTCTGGGCCACGTGGCTATTTGGCATGGCCTCATTCTAAAAGAATTTCCACCAGTCAAAGAAGACAAACAATAAACGAGGAAGCAAGTGCATAAGAGGAATTATTTCATATAGCAATTAGTACCCCCTCCCCCCATCCCCCATACAGGGTACAAAAGAGAGTGGATACTGGGGTGGGGGGTAGTGGGAAAGATCCCACAGGTGGGCTTCAGGAGCTGACATTGGAGCTCAGACCTAAATGAAGGGGAGGAGCCATTGCTCAGACCCAGAGGAGGGGCTCTCTGGACTGACAGAATAACTGGTGCAAAGCATGTCAGGGCAGAAAGAACCTGTATGGGGCTGGAGTATGATGAGCAAGGTGAGCTGAAGCTAGAAAGGTAGGCAGGAATCAGGTCGGGGGGGACCTCACAGCTGGGATAAGAGGAGTGGGCTTTCCATGAAAGTGCAATGGTAAATCATTAGTAGGTTTTAACCTGGGAATAATATGATATAATTGATACATAAAAAAATGACAAGTCAGATGAGGTGGTGGTGGTGGAGCTGAAGTAGACAGTATCTGGGATACGTTGTAGAGGCAGACTGCAAATCAATCTGCGTCTAACAGAAAAAGGACTGGCTGATAGAGTGGGTATGGAGAAGTTTCACTTGAACAACTGGGTGATGGCGGCATCACTCCAAATGGCTTCAGCTGGTATCCTTATAGGGCACCTTCCTGGTGAGCCTCCCAGCTGTCTGAGTGGAGACACAACATCCACCTAGTACTTGGAAGGGCTGTCCTGCACTAAATAGCTCTTTAACAAAAGTAAGAGTATCAGAAAAAAGGGAAATGAGACTGTTGGAAGAGACAGATGGAGCGACAACATCCATCTTGTTGACACTTCAGAAATACACACATAGCAATGTGGATTTTCTCAGTAAGTGTGTGAAGATCTAAATGCCAGAAGCCAGCTGCATTGACTTGAGATGCCCTCCTTGAGTATGCTTATAGAGTGAAAGCCTTAGAGACTTTAAGCCATGACTATCGGTTAATGAATGAACATGTTGATCAAAAAAGCCAGCTTACCTGTTCTTGTTTTCTAGTTCTGCAATCAGCTGCCGTTGTTGCTTGTTCGCATCAATGGTGAAGGAGATGTCAGGAGCACTTCTCTGCTGCGTTGGCTGCTGGAAAATATGGAGTACACATGACTTAACATTGGGAATGTGAACCTGTATGTGTTTGGGAAGACAGAAGTCATGAGGTATGCAAACAAAACCCAGGAACTATTTCTACAAAAACATAAAAGGCAAATATATAAAATTAAACTGCCATTCCTCTCCAAAGAAACAGCTTTCCTGTGAATTTGGAGCACATCTATGGAGTAGCAAACAGAATTTTTTGGTAGGCAAATACACAAGCCATCTAAAATCTGTTTTCAGCTTTCTTCCTTAAAGCCTTTGGGAAACAATTTCACTCTTGCCGAGCTGTATCCAGGATAATGACTCTCTCAGTATAGGTGGATTTAAAATATGTTTTACTGTTGAGATAACTTTTTCTGTAAAATTCTGTTCAATTACTCTAATGTGCTATTTAAAATGTGATAGTTTTTAACACATAGCTAATGAGACTTTTTCTTTTGGTCAATATACTTTTTGCATTCTTCATATATGAAATATTGATAAAATCACACTCTTGATCATGTAACTACCATTACCAATCAGTATATGTAATCTTAACTTTCTGCATTCTCGTATTATCATATATATCATAAAGCATATATTTATATGTATATTTGTATATGCATCCCTATTTAGTCAGGGGTTTATTTGGCATTATTTTATAAAGAGGGAAGTGGATTAAGTATACTTCTCTGAAAACTTAGAAATTCTTCCAAGACAATTTTTATTGTATAAAGAACTGATTTAAGAGACAGGCATTTGGTAGAGTGGCTGAGATGCCTGCATCCTATATTGGAATGCCTGGGTTCAAGTTCTGGTTCCTCTCCTGATTCTAGTTTCTTGCTAATTCACACTCTGGAGGCAACAGTGGTGACACAAGTAGTCAAGTTCCTGCCACCAACATTGGAGACCTGGACTGAGTTCTTGGCTCTGGCTTGGATTGGACCTAATCTGGCTATTACAGGCACTTAAGAAATGAACTAGCAGATGTTATCATATGTTCTCCCTGATCAGCAACAACTAACTGAGCACCAAAGGGGAAACCTGTTGAAGTGAAATGGAAACTATGAGAAACAGTGACTTGATCAGCTCTTGTCCTGACTGTTGATGTACAATGTAATACTTTGTCCATTTTAGTATTTTTTGTTTTGTTTTAGTACTATTGGTTGAACTCTGTAATTAACACGCAATTATTCTTAGGTGTTTAAATTTTAACTTAAAAGTGATCCCTGTTAAATATAAGAGTGGGAATAAGAGAGGGAGGAGATGTACAATTTGGGACATGCTCAATCGGACTTGCCCCAAATGGTGGAGTTAGAAACGTGCCAGGGGATTCCAATACAATCCCATCAAGATGGCATGTACCAATGCCATCTCACTAGTCCAAGTGATCAATTTCAGTTCACAATTGATCATAATGAAAGGACTAAGAGTCAAAGGGATCACATAAACAAGTCTAGTGCCTGCTAATACTAACCAATAGAATAAATAAAGGGGAGAGCGATCCAAAATGGGAAGCGAGATACACAGCTGACTCATAGAATGGCAGATGTCCTAAACAGCACTCTGGCCTCAGAATCAGCCCTTAAGGTATTCAGATCTGGCTGAAGAGCCCATGAGAGTATTTTAGGCATGGAAAGCCAAGAAACTCTGGGGAAAAAAAAAAAAAAGACAACCTAAATGAAAGATCTCTGTGAGTGAGATCCCAGTGGAAAGAACGGGACCATCAGAGAAGGAGGTACCTTTCTCTGAAGGGAGGAGGGAACTTCCACTTTGACTATGACCCTGTCGGAATAAGATCGAAGTCAGCGAACTCAAAAGGCTTCTATAGCCTTGGCAACTCATGACTAGAGCCTGGGGAGATTACTGACGCCATAAACAAGAGTGTCAAATTCTTAAGTCAACAACACTGTGTACTTACTTCTCATGTGGGATCTGTCCTTAATGTGTTGTCCAATGTGAAGTAATGCTATAACTAGTACTGAAACAGTATTTTACACTTTGTGTTTCTGTGTGGGTGCAAACTGATGAAATCTTTACTTAATATATACTAAATCGATCTTCTGTATATAAAGATAATTGAAAATGAATCTTGATGTGAATGGAATGGGAGAGGGAGCGGGAGATGGGAGGGGTGCGAGTGGGAGGGAAATTATGGGGGGGAGCCACTGTAATCCATAAACTGTACTTTGGAAATTTATATTTACTAAATAAAAAAAAAATTAAAAAAAAAGAAATGAACCAGCAGATGAAAGAGCTCTCTTTCCCTCCATTTTAAATAAATAAGTAAATAAAAATAGGGGCCAGAGTTGTGGTGCAGCAAGTTAAGCCTCTACCTGTCATACTAGCATCCAATATAAACAATGGTTTGAGTTCCCACTATTCTACTTCTGATCCAAGTCCCTGCTAATGCACCTGGGAAGGCAGTACAAAACAGCCTAAGTGCTTGGACCCCAGCCACCCATATGGAGACCTGAATGGATTTCCTGGTTCCTGGCTTCAGCCAGGTCTAGCTCTGGACATTGTGGCCATTTTGGAGTGTACCATCAGTTGGAAGATCTTTTTCTCTGTCTCTCCCCCTCTCTGTCACTCTGCCATTCAAATAAATAAATAAATTATTATTATTTTTTTAATTAGAGTCTGTTCATTAAGTCAAAAGACATGAGGAAACACAGCCTGTATTTTATATTTAGAAAAATAACTGTAGGAAAGGTTCACACAGATCTGGCTTTCATAAAGATTTTTGATGATTTTTAATTTATGGTTCTTTTTTAACAAAGAAATGATTTGTGTTGCAAAGAAAGAACCTTGAGGACCTCTGTATTTTATATCCATGACTTTCTATAATTAAGTTTGGCATATGGCAACTCTGACCTGTGATTCAGGCATTTCTTCTGATTTCCTAATATAAATACCTTTTTCTTGCATATATTTTACGCTTTGTTAAAAGACAGAAACTTATCTGAGCCAGTTGTGGGTTTCAGTTGTTGCTTTGCTCTCTGTAATAGTTAACCAGGAATCATTCGGATATCTAAGATGTTGAGTTGGCCCAGTAATGTTACAACAGAGTATCTCAAGCTATGACTCATGCTATCCTGGAATGATAACTGAAAAGTGAAAAAATGGAAGCAGGCCATATGAGAACAATTATTCAGCTCTGCTGATATTGCACAAAAGTAGACACAGACGATACGTAAATAAACAAGCATAATTATACACTAGTGGACACAAAAATTTGAATCTCTGTCACACAACGTGACTCTTCTTTGGATTATTTTCAACAATTAAAAAAAAGTAAAAGCTATTCTGAGCCTACAGGTTGTATAAAAATGACCTGGATTTGGCCAAGGTATTTTGTCGATTCAACAAGGGTAAAAAAGTTTCTTTCTACTTTATTTTTTAACCAATAGATATTAGCCAACAGATGTGAAAAACATAAAAAATAACACACAATATCCTTCTTTGAAGAGTGAAAATATATATCATCTAACATACTTGATTTTAAAAATTAGGAATAAGGACTTAAAGTGGTCAATAAATATAAGAAATAGATGGTAGATTGATTCTACATAACAAGGCTTATTAGGAAAAACAAGGGGGAAGAAGAGTAATGAGAGATAGGAATTAGGGGAGAAAAAAGGAAAAATAAGCTGATTAAGAGAGGTAAGAAGTAGAAACAAAAGGAGAAAGGAGGTGCATAGGGGAGATATTTATTAATTTTTGCTGTATCAGCATAATTAAAGTATATGATTATACTTAATCTCTTTAACTGATGACATAGAGTGAAACAAATATAGAAAAGACAGAGAGGAAGACAGATTTTCAGAAAGGTAAAATTCACCACAGTTGAAATATATTTATAGATTTCAGACCATGCTATCCTGGGGCCCCATTTTTGGACAGGGCCATAATTGCAGAAAGAACCCAGAGGACCCCAAGCTGCTAATTCTTATGCAGTCATGTCTCAGTCTGCGGCCTTCAAAAAAATCCAAGATTATATCTTTACATGGCTTTTAATGCCTAATCCATTTTCCTAACTATGGACAAGAGAATTCTCATATTTGTTCAAAGACCTGATCTGGTTTGCCAATGATACAAATCCTACTAAATAATTTGATCAATTAAGACTCACTGAATTAGATGGCTATTTTTTAAAAGATTTATTTATTTATTTGAAAGTCAGAGCTACAGAGAAAGAAAAGAAAAGAAAGGAAGGAAGGAAGGAAGGAAGAAAGGAAGAAAAGGAGGAGGAGGAGGAGCAGAGAGAAAGAGAGAGATGAGAGATATCTTCCATCTGCTGGTTCACTCCCCAGATGCCCACAATGGCCAGGGATAAGCCAGGCCAAAGCCAGGAATCAGGGGCTTCTTCCAGGTCTCCCACATGGGAGGCAGGGGCCCAAGGACTTGGGCCATCTTCCACTGCTCTCCCAGGCACATTAGCAGGAAGCTGGATGGGAAATGGAACAGCTAGACATGAAATGGTGCCCACATGGGATGCTGGTATTGCAGGCAGCAGCTTTACCCAGCTATGCTGCAATGCCAGCCCTCACTGGTTATTTTCGCTGTCTCGTAGAGAGCATTTTAGACTCAAGCTTTGAAATTGAGCATATCCTACTGTTTTTTTTTTTTTTTAACAGGATAAAGGTCTTTATTACAAGATATAAGAATTTTTTCTTTGGCACATGCATGAGTATGTGTGTGCTTGTATATATGTATGTATGTGTGTGTGTGTGTGTGTGTATATATATATATATATATATATATCACCCAGAAACTTTATTTAAGGTATACAAACTTCATGCATTTCATAAATATAAATTTAGAAATATGGTGATTCTTCCCATTCTATCTGCCCTCCCACCTGCACTCCCACCCTTCTTCTCCTCACTTTTCTATTCCCATTCTTATTTTTACTAAGATCTATTTTCAGTTAACTTTATACACAATATTAAACCTATACTAAGTAAAAAGTTTAACAAGTAGTGTGAAAAAAAAAACTGTTCTTCAATAGTTGAGTCAAGAGCTGTTCAAAGTAATATCTGTTCTCATTTGAATGAAATCTCCTTAAGTTTTAGGCTGCCTCAAATATATTGATTTATTCATTTCCATTTTTTAAAATTCAGCACCTATTATGTAACAAGTACTGTGGCAGGTATCATATAAAAAGACAGATTTCATGTCCCCATAGTTACATGATTAAGGCAACCAAGGAGGGATAAAGAGAAGATGACATCGAGCTGGTTTATAAAGTGATAATGGAGAAACAGTTGTTGGATAGGTGGATTGAAGTTTATGCATGGTGTATCTGGCAATGGCTAGGCTTTAGGGCATGGAATAGTGAGGGGCCGTACGGCAGAATCTTGTAGGAAATGCAATGACTGAGTAAGCGAACAGTAAGGAAAGATGCATGAATTTCCATCCAGAAGATAATGAAATGGACACAGGTAAATGGTCTTTCTATCTCTTTCTAACTTGGTGACGTTGTCTATGTAGGGTTTATTTAGCTAATCACACAATTCTTGGAAATGTGATTAGCAAGGGATTTACAAAGCAACAGGAATTCATGTAAAGATGGTATTTTTCCACAAAGGTTTTATATATAAGTAGGCAAAGGACACAGTAACTAATGTTCTCAAGAAAGAAAACAGAGACAGAATAAGCCAGTGCACATATCAATAACAGCACGTGCATAGAGATTTAACATCCCACCAGGGATCACTAACTCAAATGTGGAATGGGGCCAAAGAGGTAACCTAATTGAAAGAGGCGCACCATGAGAGGAGGTGAGTGTTCAAAACAGACAGAGAAATGCCTCTGCTCCAGGTCCAGTTGCCATGAGAAACATGGACCTGGTCTGTCTTTCAAGATACACAGAAAATCCAGAGTTTTATGGTAAACCATCTGATATATCAATGCTGACTATGGACAAAGAATTGAAAACGCTGTGGGGGTTGCAAAAAGCTTCAGTGGGGGAAAATTTGGTCTGTAGGCTGCAATTTTGTGCCTGCTGGCTTACGCAGCACTTTCATATTTCATTATCGCAAACAACTCTAATAATTGCCAACTTTGTTTTGCCTTTCCTTTCAAGAGATTCCCAAGAGGGTTACTTGTCCTAAAATCTAGTTCTCTCATACTCAGCTGACTTTAATTTTCTTTAACATATTTGTTCTTTATTTCAAACATCTAAAGTTTCACATATTTCATTTATATCTGGTCTACTATGTCTGATTTGGGGGCCACTTTTGGCCTGTTCAAGACCCTTTCCTATCTTGACCATTGTAGTTTCTGACAGTGTTACAGGGACTGATGTCACAGACAGGCAGGTGCCATGGTTAATGCAATGGGACGCTGTACTACTCCCATCTGTGACTGTTAATTAAATGGCTGGCAGGAAGAGCTCTGATTACCGGCAGCATCTCATATACAAGGGGCAGGTTATGCTTCCTCACTACTTCCTTGCCACTTTTTGTCCTTTGTGCTGCACTAATTGCAGCTCGTTCTTAGTTCAGCACAGATGATTTCTGAACAGAGATGTGAAACTGGTTGTGGCTTTTGTTTTAGAGTAGAAGCAAATGGAAAAAGATATCATCCCTGCTGATTCCATTTTAAGTGTCACTTGCAACTATTCTGCCTTAAATCTACTGTCGTCACTAAATATACCTGTTTTTGACCCATGAAGGAATTATAACCAGTCCTTACTCCTTTCCTCAGGTACTCATGGGGACAATGCTGGGTAAAGAGGAATGTGGGGCTTCCTTGACCACAGCGTCACACTGCTATAAATGGTTTTGTTCCCTGAGGCGTCATTTTACAAGTGGAAACTCACCACCAAGCTAATATGACATAGTAACAAACTTAAAAACAATAAATTCATACAAACTGTCCTAGTAATCAGTACCACCTATCATGGTAACAGTGAACGTGACATATGAAATTCAGAGATCTCAGATGCCCACGGAAGGATCCTTTCAATCAAACTACTTACAGACGAAGAGGATTCTGCTGCCAGTCTTGCCGCATACCTGGCAATTAGCCTGTGCTCTTCATCAAGCCGGTTTGAACTCTCAAGCATACTATCAAGAAGACAGCAAGAAGGAGACTGTTAGGCAACAGAGAAAGACGCCTGCATTCATATCACCATTAAGGGGTTTTGCTTTTTTAATTTGTCAGTGCTCCAAACTTGCAAGCTATAAAAACCCTCTTTGGTTAATGGTCTCCAACTTGGGATTCATGACATGATCTACTAGATGGCTCAGAAGATCACTAATAAATCTTGTCTCCAGTCAGTTCAATCATCTTACTAGGAAAGCTTCAAAGAGAAATGATTTTTTGCACCAACATTTCTGATATAGGAATATCTTCTACTTAATTTTATTAACATTTTCTTCCCTTATTATACAAGTGTGCATATCTGAAATCAACCCATTAGAAAATATAGAGAAGAAAGAAAAAAAATGTGGGCAGTGTCCAGTGATTTCTACCTTCTGGTATTCACATTCTTAGGTAATGCTCCCTCCTGAGTAGGGGCTGGACTCTCTGACTTGCTTCTAATGAATAGAATACATCCAAAGGAATGGAATGTCACTTCGAAAATTTGGTTATAAAAAGACCAGGGCTTCCACTTGGGCCTACTCTCTTCTTCTTGAGTGCTCTTCAATTGTTTGCCCTGTGGGAAGCTAGAAGCCACATCATAAGACAGCCCACTGGGAAGGCCCATGTGATGAGGAACTGAAGAGAGCCAATAGCCGCATGAAGAGATCCCTGTTGGTAGTATCCTTAGATGAGATCACAACCTGAGGTGAAAGCTTGACCTCTTGAAAGTCCTTGAGCCAAAGGTTCCCTGCAAGGCCAAACCTGGATTCCTGACCTCTAGAAACTGTGAGATTAATGCTTGTTGTTTTGAGCCACTAACTTTTGGGGGTAATTTCTTATATAGCATAATAGATACCTAACGCAATTGTTATCTAGGATATTACTACTCAGGTAAATGCTTTTTATATTCACTTCCAGATAAGTAGAATTCCAGTCGTGTTTCTAGATAATATTAAGGGGAATTATTTAGTGTCTTTCATAAATAAATTTATATAAACTGTTCATACTAAGATAAAGTTGAAGAATACAAATACAAATATTACCAATTCTCCCATATTTTAGAAAACTTTATCTTCTGAGCTCTTTGTTCACTAAGTTTTGAGTACCATTAAACAAAGTCTATGAAACATACCAATAAGACTAATCCTGTTGAACAGACTAGTTGGTTGGTCATGGTTTGGCTTATTATGGTGGGTATCAGGTCAGAATCAAGATTAGAAACTAGTTATTCTCATTCCCACACATAATTCTATTCTTCTCTATCAGCTCTTAAGGCTTTTTCTTAAAGAAAAAAAATTAATGTTCATGATTATGTTTTAAATACATACACTCTTATGTCAATATTAAGGTTATAAGATTTATCCATTGCAAAGAGTTGGATCCACATAATGTAACATGATTATTTGTATTTATATTTACATGTAAAGTGAACATGCAGCACAGTTTTTTAACTTTTGTTCTAAAGTGAGAAGACAAGTGAAAATCATTTTGTGCCTTCTGCATGTTGGCAGGGTCAGTTCCAAATAGTTCTTCCCTGGTTGGTTGAAACAATTACTATAATGTTTTTTCCTGGTCATTTGGAAGTCATTCTCATCTCTACTCTACTCAAGTCTACACCCCTCACATATGTCACCTATACCCATTTTAACACTTTTATGCAGGCTTTGATAAATAACGAGGATTTCATCGCCAAATTTCCCTGTTTATCTACTTAGTGCTCCATTCCTCAGAAAAAGCATCAAGCTGGCATGATGCCTGGTACACACTAAGTGCCCCCAAATGTTAGTGCAATATTATTATTCTGCCTCTTAAGTAACATCTTCAGATTCATGAACAATTCTTGTCTCTCTCGAAGTATCACCAACTATCACACAACCATCCAGGGCACTGCTTCTCAGACTTTAAAGTATAAACATATTACTCAGAGATTTTGTGAAATGCAGTATATGATTCTCTAATGGGGGGTGATGGAGTGGGACCTGAGAATATGTAGGTCTGACAAGCTTCCAAGAGACCTTCGTATACCTAGTCCAACATTTTTGAGTGGCAGGATCTAGAAGATCTTGAAAATAAAATGGAAAATCCAAATATATGAAATAAAATCCTAATGTAAATCATATAAAGAGGGAGGGAGGGTAGGGTGGGACGTATCACCATGTTTCTAAATCTGTATATATGAAATACATGAAACTTGTATAACTTAAATAAAATAAAAAAAACAAAAAATCATATAAAATCATTTCCCATGAATATTTAAGTAGCATATATGATATTTTACAAACATTATTTAAGACAGAAAATTTTAGGATACAAGGCTCATATAATGTATAGCATCAATCACAATGGATGAGATTTCAATTAGCATATAAATTTAGACTTGGAGAAAAATAATTTTAATAGGAAAAGATAGAATTAGTTCTGGAAAACTGGAGCTTTAAAGCAGATGTTTAACTTTATAAAACTGTCTATACTCTGCAATTGTTAAATAAAATTAATTTTCTTATTGTAGCTCTAATAAGAAAAAGTTTATTGTTTTTGCTTTAAACATAAAACCATCCTAAAAAAAGGCCATTTAGTTTGATTTTCACATGTCTATCATTTCTGGCTCGTGTGTTAGAGACTATGTGCCTCATTTAAACACAGTTTGTGTTGACAACAGGGCCCGATCAACAGGACAACGATCTGTTTGCTGCTTCAAAGTGACTTTGTCAAAAACAATTGTTTTGATAAATAATAAACGATAAAAAACTTCATGATAAAAGTGTTTTCTATCATGAGTGACCAGCAAGTATAAATAATGTGAGGTTGTTTTTTGGAAAAAAAAAAAAAAAAAAAAAAAAAAAAGATGCCTCCTGGAAATGTAAGACGTGAAGATATGGGATGTTGTCTAGTACGCGATAACTCATGTTTCTGTGCCTTTCCTCGCCCAGCAGGGAGTGAACAAGGGCCAGTGTGATAAATTACCCCTCTGTGCATGTGAACGATTTATGAGTCCACATGTGCCTTTGCAGTATGTTCAAATTATACAAGGGTGAATGAGGCATTCCTCTGATAAATTTCATTATTTCAAGACTTCAATTACAAATAGTTGAAAATGAATGGCCAATAATCCCTAAATCATTAAAATAAATAACAATTCCAACACTCTCTCCAGCCCTAGCTATTCATTCCAGAATTTTATAATCAGTAATCTTGCTACAAGACTGTGATGAATTAAAATGGGAGTGCTGTGTTGACTGCATTTCAGGGCGGGGACATTCATTATTTTGAAAGCTCTCCACTTTCTACCTCAAGTGCATGGCCAGTGTCTGTTACTAGTGATTTCAATCGGCATTCTAGGAAACTCAAGTGGCCCCAGCTAAGCTGGAGATTACTAAATTGTGGTTTAGCAAAGATTTTTGGGAACTCATGGTTTGTTTACATTTCTTTCTTTCCTCTGTAGGCTGTAGGAAGTCACTGACTTCCAGGGTAAACTATCAACAAAAAATACTGTGATCCAAAGACACTGGAAACACTTTTAGATTTTCCCCTGATATTTTTTCTATTTGGAGGGCGACATGCATTTTATCACTAGAGATAGATTTTTAAGATGATCAAGCCTCATGTACTACTCTTCTTCTACTTAAATGCAAATAGCTAATGGGAAGATTACCCCCTGTGAAGGTACTATTAGCTTACACCTAAATGGAAGATTCCTTTATCAGATTATTTCCTATCTTTTTCAGTTGGTTGAGAGCAAAATGCTATGGGGAATAGAGCACTCTTCAGACATTTAGGAGTCAGCAAGTGCATGAGGGTTGGGGTGGAAAGGACCAAAGATATCCCTGGAACTGAGCAGTGTTTTTACTGGACTGCAGACAGGGAGTAAAACTAATTTTCAAAGCTTAATGTGCTGGCCCTTTAGTGAGCGTTTGAAGGGAAAAGAGAAAATCATGAACTAGCAATCTTCATGGATAATCGTAATAACTTACCATAGTAATGGCATCTTGGGGTGTCTTTTTGCTCCTCTAGGAGACCCTGACTTTAACCACCTGTTATTTACAATCAAGGTCATTCATTCAATCAAAGTTTAGCATACACATTAAATATATTAAAGGAATACAGTTCAGTGGACTCAGTGTTGAAATATGTTATGGGTGGGGTTGCGTCTCCCTGTAAATATTCTTTTTTGAAAGCCCCTTAGAATGTGACTATATTTGGAGATATGGACTTTAAAGGATTAAAGTTAAAAGAGTTCATAAGGGTGGAGTCCTAGTCCAATATGACTGGTGATCTTTCAAGAAGAGGAAGAGACACCAGAGACATGAGACATGAACATGGACATGAGAAAGGACAATTGAGGCTACAATAGAAGGTAAACATCTGCAAACCAAGGAGCAGACTCAGGAGGAACCAAACCAGCTAGTAACTTGGCCTTGGACTTCCAGCCTTCAGACCTGTAAGAAAATCAATTTCTATTGTTCAAGCCTCCAAATCTAAGTATTTTGCCATAGCAGCCTTGGCTAGCTACTACAAAGTAGAAGTGACCAGAGGGCATTTAAAAAACTTTTAAATTCTTGTCCAGTATCACATTATTTTAAAAAATCTCCTATAAGTTTATCTACATCAGTGAATTTCTGATGCTTATCTTTTTATTTACCATCTCTATCTATGTAGAGTTTAATACTTTACTTTTTCATCCACTTTATATGCTATACTAAGTATTCAGTTTAAGGGCTACTCTATAATAGTGATTTAAAAAAATAGAAAATATATTTATTAGTAAAAAAGGTTTCTAGGTGTTACCAACAATTTTGCTTAGGGTAAGTGGGAGTTTTACACTTCTAGTAATATTAATATTCTACACTATCTGCAGGTATTTCTTGGGCCCCTCCTGTGTGCTAGGCACTGTGCTAGGTGCCAGAGATAAAGTTGGGGAAAAGTCACAGAGGGTTATTTTCCATGGGGGAAGCTGGACAGAAAACCAGCCAATTAACCAATG